TAAAGTGAGTCATACATATCGTGAAAATTAGCTTTAGCTTACCGTGCTATACCACAACCAAAAATAAAGCAATTCTCTCTCATATATTTGATGGACAAGAGCTAATGCGGACGTTTTTCTATCCATTATAGAAATTGCTTTAACAATAATTAACTATTTTAGACCCACTTCTATAAAATCACAAATACACCAGATACATCCCGCTTGCGGTCAAAGACACGTGACTTTGTCACTGACATGTGGACCCTGACAAAAACATCGTGCATTTTACTGCAGAGGATCTCAATTTTAAGATCATGCGTGTACTGTTCATTCATGTTTCTCTGCCCAAAGAGCATGCATGTTACTGTTCATTCATGTTTCCCTCACATGCGTAGGTGCAGATGCCAACTCGATGGAACGATCACCTTGGGCGTTCCTGGACCTCAAATCATGCATATGTGTGACGTGTGGTCCGATCCAGACCAACCGTGCATATGCATATGCTACTGCTAGCTTCTCCCATAAGAAAAGCCGAGCGATCGGTCGGCAACCCGGCATCCTTTTCCCTAGGTGGACATACACCGTGCAGTCGTGCACGTACGCTGCATGCAGCATAAACCGACCAAGAGACGACCTTAGAACATCTTCAACAGAGTTACTATTTTTACTATCCAAATATCTATTTGATCAATTTACCAAAAGAATTAGAGCCGGATTTTTCTTTCACTACAATAATTCTCCGTTACATTCTCCAATCTGACAGTGCTTTTCATATGTTGGCATCCTACTCTTTTTCTTTCCTCACGTCTTCTCAACCAAGTAAACTCTTAGGCTGTGTTACTCAACTTTCCGTAGTTTCCCATGCCTCAGTTACTTGTGATCCGCCGCTCCTTGATTCCGCCGGTCTTGGTCGCTTAATTGCATTTCTGAAACTAGTCGAGAAGGCATTAACAATTATCTAATTAAATACTATGGACGGTGTAAATATATATACATGATCAAGGAAAAAAAAGCAATAAACATACATATAATATATAGTGGTCTCCCTATCATGAGAGTACGATGATACTGTGCGAGTTTTCTAAACAACAGTTTAGTCCAAACCAGGTCGCCGTCGTTAGCGCGACAGAAAGTCTAGATTAGGGATCTCCAACATCAACTCTCCCGTGCATGCTTGCTGCTTTCTTGCTCCACCTAACAATTATTTATTTGGTACAACCCAATCAGTGACTATAACCAATAAACTGCCAATGCACCTAGCACTTTATTACTACTACCTCCATCCCATAATCACAATTTTACACTATCTACTATCAATGTTTAACTATCCGTCTAATTAAAAAAATTATAATTAATATTTTTATTATTATTAGATGAATGGTCAAACGTTAGACACATAAATCCACAACTGCACTTAAAATAGGATGGGTAGTACTATATTCATGATATATTATGGAGTATATAATGTGAGCCTCCCAGTGATAATTTTTTTAATTATATTATGTGTAGTGGCACCATCTCAATTGCTTTAAGATTCTCTTGATTATATTTAGTGATAATTTATTGTTCTTGATTTATGCAAGCACTACACAGACAGTACTGCATTATTGCTACTACATGTACATGCAGTGGTCCATATACAAACTGCATTTTTTGACAGTAGGTGGAAATAAGGACAGGAGAAGAAAAAAATTAATACTACTATACTCCACTAGCATCTCCATATAAAAAGCCAGCGGAAACAACAATCTGACAACAGTTTCTGATCCTGTGTGTACAACAGTCCAGCATGGCCCACAAGCAGTCAGGCCCCTGCACGGGGTGGCCCACCAGTCAGCAATGGAACAGACCGATGTGGCGATGGACGCACGAGAGGCATCTCACTGACTGCAAGTTCTACCGATCCTGACTTCTAAAGTGAAAACTACTGAAAGTCTGAACGTCCGAAAACTAATGCAAATGCAAACCTGGAGACTCAAATTCTGAAGCTAATTCAAATGGTTTTGCTTGAAAACTGGAAGCGTCAGCAAGAACCTAGAAACCGTGTTTGCAAATGCAACACATGGATTCTCAATTTCTCATACTGAATTCTTGAGTAGCATAATGTTTTCAGAAGAGGTAAAATGGACATGAAGACTCATCAGAAACATCGAAATTCTCCTCCACACAACATCGATTTCATGCATTTAGGAAGGACATTGATCTTCTGCGTATTTTGCAGAATAAAGATTGTAACAAGAAAGAATCTTTATAAAACTATCTGTAATAACTTTTTTTTCTGTATTTTAATATAAATATGTCACTGCCGGCCTGCCGGGCGAGGCTCGCCTGTCAGTGTTTCCTTAAAGAGAACATACAGATGTTTCGATTCGATCGGTTTGTCTTGCTTGTTTTCTGTGATGCATTTGGCAACGATGTTGTGATAGCTGTGGAGTCGAAGCTGCTGTGTCGCCAGGCGACAAGCCCGGCAACGATAACATTTGCCTCACGAAGTCGAAGCCTTTGTATCGCTTACAACAAGCTCTTTATCGATAGCTGTTTTGGGCTCCGCCATTTTTCCTTTTTCCATGGTATTGGTAGCTTAGGTTAGAGTGTTGTGGTTTTCGTCCAGTTTTTCCCTAATTAACTGTGCATTGTAAGGTTTAGTCTCGTTTTCTCCTTAAAATAAGACACCTTCTTCTTTATATAAAACGTCGGCAACAGCCTGACCGTTCGAAAAACTACTACTTAACAGTTCTGATCTATGCCAGTACATCTTTCTCATTGACTTGATTTAGGGCAAATCGCTGGATGACGAAGTGATAATCTAATATGTTAATTAGCTACGACAATAAGCGAGCGCGGGTGCCTCAAACATGATGTCATTCTCCAAGTCATGGCCTTAATTAAACATACTTTCTAGCCATAATGGAAGCATCAACTATATATATGGTGGATCCCTGATGATGATTGCTAACATGATAAGGCCACGATTAATTGTCATCAGAAAGAGGGAACTAAATCAATTAAACTGAAATTTTCACTTGCTATAGGTTTATGGGCTTGGTAGGTGGTGATACACTAGCTAGCACATTGACAAATAACCACGTTGATCTGACCCATGGAGGTGAACTTTTTCCCCTTAGATGAATGGAATGAAACTAATGCTACATCACATCCACACAAATGATAAAATGATTAATTAATTAACCCTGTCACTGCATTATCATAATAGTAAGTGCTGCTAGAGATAGCGTGGATTTTATAATTTTGCGGTGGACTCTCGGCGGATTTTAGAAACTCGTGATGGCAACACGTGGTACATATGCTTGCCACGATAACATGAGTAGTGCCGCGTGTAGTTAACAAGATAGCCACGTTGTAGGTTATATCAATCTTATTGACACAACTCGTGACAACACTATGGCTACGGCGTTGTCATTTGCTATGATATCGAGACTATATGACCATAAAGGGTACTTCCAACAAAAGTGACACGGCCATGATGGCACTGTGGCTACGATGGTGTCGTTTTTTATGATGCCGAAACTATGACTATAATGAGTACTTCCAACTAGAGTTGACGAGAGACACGTCCATTGATAAATGTGATCAATGGTTATATGGGTGGATTTATAAAAATATAAATGCATGAGTATGATTCAATATTTGGTTATCAACGTTCCGCTCTGGGAGCGCATTATACAATAAATTTATGAGAATGGCATACAATAATAGTATATATTTACAGCAATATATTTTTATATGCCTTTACTATGTTAAGAATTGTAGAACAAATAATGTGTCCATATCAAGATAGTGAATGGCACCTGGTAATTTATTCCATGGGAACACAAACATTGTCTTGCTCCAAGTTCTTACATGTTGCCGGAAAAGTGCCATTGATCGAGATGGTAATGAATCATCTCATCTTGATTGGAACGATTAAATCTTTTACTACCATCATGATGTGATCCATTATTTAATTTGCCAGTTATTGTTGTCATATATATCTATGGACCATCTATTGTTATCACACAATTTTATGCAGTTAGGATCAGAAAGTTTTAATCCAGTACTCATTATGGCTAAAAATCCTCCTGTTTTACATTTGACGATTTGAATATTCCGATCGATCTCCATAGTTTTAAAAGAACTTCCTTATTTGATGGGTACTTCTTGTTAGATACCAGTATGTACTTACACATGATTTAATGACAATTTGCATGATGCACGCAGTTGAATGCTTCTCCCCCTCCTACGTAAATTGGAACGGGCAGACTTTGGTCCAACAACTCACATTTGACTTTCTCACAACGATCTATCTTCTGTAGACTGCGTACTTCGTCGCCAGCCAATGTGAGTGTCATACATTTCAATGCTTCTTAACACGTAGCAGTACCGCACAATAACTTTGCATATGCCCCACAAAGTAACAAATGTCTCCAAACATTTATGTGAGTAATTATAGTTTAATATAATATAACCTTATTGTTGTCACTACATTTGAACTCTATAAAAATGCAATGGGAATTGGGGAGTGAGGATTGGACATAAAATAAAAGTCCAATACCCAACTTCATAAATATTCTGCAACTCAGTAATTGTATGCATACACTGTAAAATCATAAAAAAATGCAAAAAGAAACAATTAATCACATCATCCATATCAAGTTAGACCATATAAATTAAAGTTGCTTTGACTTTTCTCTTATTCAAATTCATTTAAATTTGACTGAATTTGCAAAAAAAAAATATAGCAACATTTTCAACACAAAACAAATATACTATCAAAATGTATTCAATGTTATATTTAATAAAACTAATTTGGTATTATAACTGTTGCTAATTATTCTATAAAATTTAATAAAATAAAAAGTAATATGAATCAGAGAGAGTAAATTACAGTAACCTGCATATGATTTATTTTCCCCTAACCTGCGCGGAGAAAATTGTCGTGTAGCCAACCCGGGGTGCTCCTTGCAAAATAGGCGCCCCCTATTTGTACCATACCACCGCGCTACGCGTCCCCATCCCATCCCCCCTCCCTCCCCTTCTTCTGCTCTTTCCCCTCTCCCCCACTTCTCTCGTCTTCCTCTTCGACTCTTGCAGTTTAGTCCACTCCATTCCCACCAAAATTCCTCTCTACTCCCAAATTCCCCCCACCCCTCCCGGCGAATTCCCCCCCTCCGCCGCTCGATTCGGCGCTCGAATCCGCCGTCTCCGCCGCCAATTCGCTCGGTCCGGCGGTTCGCTGATCCACTCTCTCGTTTTTTTGTTTTTTTTTTACCTTCTTACGCGGCGATTCGGGGTGTATGAGCTCGGTTTCGCGGCGGGTTGGTTGATTTGCTCCGCCGCGTCGGAGGGCGGCGGCGCGGGGAAGAGGGGGGCATGTGGGTTTCGCTGGTCTGGATCCGTGGGTGCGTGGGCGTCACGTTCGTCGACTACTTGGGCGGGAGGGAAGCCGAGTAGATCCTTTTACGCGGTGTGCCGGGGAGGGAGGTGGTGGTTGAGGTTGAGGTTGACGAGGGGTTCTAGGGTTTCGGGGGCGGGGGGCCATGGAGGCTGCCCGGGTCGGGGCGCAGAGCCGCCACCTGTACGGCGGAGGGCTAGGCGAGCCTGACATGGACAGGCGCGACAAGAGGCTGTTCGGCTGGGACCTCAACGACTGGCGGTGGGACAGTGACCGCTTCGTCGCTACGCCGGTGCCCGCCGCGGAGGCGAGCGGCTTGGCGCTGAACAGCTCGCCGTCTTCCTCCGAGGAAGCCGGGGCCGCGTCGGTGAGAAATGTTAATGCTAGAGGTGACTCCGATAAGAGGAAGCGGGTGGTGGTCATTGATGATGATGATGTGGAGGATGACGAGCTGGTGGAGAACGGCGGCGGGTCACTGAGCTTGAGAATTGGGGGTGATGCTGTTGCCCATGGAGCAGGGGTGGGTGGTGGTGCTGATGAGGAAGACAGGAATGGCAAAAAGATCAGGGTGCAGGGAGGCAGTCCTAGTGGCCCCGCGTGCCAGGTGGAGGGCTGCACTGCGGACCTTACTGGTGTGAGGGATTACCATCGACGACACAAGGTCTGCGAGATGCATGCCAAGGCTACCACTGCTGTGGTTGGGAACACTGTCCAGCGGTTCTGCCAACAATGTAGTAGGTTAGTTTAATTCAAACTACTACTGCCTTTCATTCTCATTCTATAATTTGTTCATATTGGAATGATTAGGTAGAATATGCTATGCAAGTTTGATGCAATGCGGCTAAACAGATTCTAGACCCTCACAAACTTCCAACCCTAACAATTTTGTAAGCATTGGATTTTGAAAGTAATCCTGATGAATATGGTAAATTAAATTGATAAAATGATAGTTAAAGAGAGGAGTTGGTGTGATCTATCATCTGTGCATGTTCAATCTAGATTGGCTGAGATAAATTTATACGTAGACTTGTCTGTATTATATACTTCCTCCGTTTCACAATGTAAGACTTTCTAGCATTGCCCACATACATATAGATGTTAATGAATCTAAACACATACATATGTCTAGATTCATTAACATCTAAATGAATGTGGGCAATGCTAGAAAGTCTTACATTGTGAAACGGAGGGACTATTATGGAAGTAATGATTTTGGATCGTACCTTTTGATTTTGAAGAATAATTTTAGGTATATTTTTTTTCCTTCTCATCCTAAAGTCAAATTCTCAAATTCATGATGATATGATATTTGTCTGCACCTTTTGAGCTTAGAGTGTAATGATTCTTTAACTCAGGACGTGGTTTATTAATTTGACATCTGTCACAGCATATGGGCGCAGTGGTAGTAAAATGAAAAGGACACCATAATTTGTGGAGCGAAGATTAAAATGACGATGCTTATGTTGTAATTGTGAAAAACACGGACTATCAGTCATAGGCAAGATTTAGTGATGATGCTGGAAGAAGTGATCAACGTAGTGCCATGCTAAGAGAAATCGTTAGGGATTAACTCTTATGAAAGCAGTGAATACAACCGAAAAGGAGTCGTATTGCACAACCCATTTGAATATACGATATAAAAGAAAATGTTCGAAAGTAAATATATTATAAAATGGCCTATGCCCTTCTAGCTGTGCCTGTATATCTAAGATCTATGTGGTACTGCCGATGGCTCAGCTCAAAATTACAGTTGTACGTGTCATAACAATCAGACTGCTTTCTCTCGTAATTTCTTTGGATTATTTTCTCTTCAAAGAAAATACTTTTTTATTTCCAACATCTGTACTGAAAGTCTGAAATTAATTTTTTTTGGGGAAAAATTAGTTGAAGTTGACAAAGCCAGAAACATTTTTGCTAAGATATTTTTTGAATCGTAGAATTTCTGAGACCATTTTTACATTTCGTAATTGCTAGAACTAGTACGCACGTTTTTCATGGACCAGTATTTTCATATATTCTTTTTCGTCTGATGTAAGAGAACATTTGGTTCCTTAATGTCCTCATTTGTGCATCCCACGTCCAACAGTAATGCTTTCTTTTGCTCACCCTTTTATGTGTGTGGGTTGTTCCTATGCTTAACACCACTGTCAACTTTTAGAAAATATTGTGAATTCTTCTTGGGCACTGTCAATTATAATAGTTTTTACAGTATTTGTTTTTCATGCATATTTTTTCATAAATGTTTCAAAGGAACTGGCACTCTGTTCAAGGAGTACCGTGTGATTACATAGTGCTAATACTATTTACAATGTACTGTGCTATGGTGCCATAGTATGCATTTTTTTTTTCAAAAAGATATGGGTGAACTCTGTAATTACTGTACATGCTTACATGTTCCTTTTACAGATTCCACCCTCTTCAAGAATTTGATGAAGGGAAGCGAAGTTGCCGCCGACGTTTAGCAGGCCACAACAGACGAAGGAGGAAGACCCGCCCTGAAGTTGCTGTTGGTGGTTCTGCATTTACTGAGGACAAAATTAGCAGTTATTTATTGTTGGGTCTCCTTGGAGTATGCGCCAATTTGAATGGTAAGTAAACATATTCTTATTTGAACTGTAGGTAATGTTTTTATGGTACAATAACATAGATCCTCCATCTGCACGTATGTATTGGTGAGCTGGTACTAGTATAGTTTGTTTTCAATTGCGTACTTGAGTTTGACTTTATCTGAATATGTTTCTGAGTGAATTTACTTGGTATTGATTGAAATAAGACTTCTGATGTTTTCAAGTAAGGTAGCTTTTATGTTGTATATGGTTCTTGTTTATTGGAAAGGTTGTTAGTGGCATAGTTTCTAGGACTACAAAGACTGTAGTGTGGTACTAGATGAGTTCATAGTTAAGTCTTATATTCAACTCCCAGATTTGCTTACAGGAAATTTCCACCTTTGTGTCAAGATTGCCTATCCTATGTCAAGACTTCACAACAGCACAATTCTGCAATCTTTTAGCCATTTGCTTAAATGTAGAGCCTCCCAAAATAACGTAGGAATACTTCTAGTGCCTAGACTGGACTATTATGAACATACTTGGTCCATGCAAGCTAGTTTTATGATAATACTCACAGGACTCCACAATTGTACTTGCAGCTGACAATGCTGAGCATTTAAGAGGTCAGGAGTTGATATCTGGTCTTTTGAGAAACCTGGGGGCAGTTGCCAAATCATTGGATCCAAAAGAACTCTGTAAACTCTTGGAGGCATGCCAAAGCATGCAAGATGGATCAAATGCTGGGACCTCTGAAACAGCTAATGCTTTGGTAAATACTGCTGTAGCAGAGGCTGCAGGGCCATCTAACTCTAAGATGCCTTTTGTGAACGGTGATCAATGTGGCCTGGCATCATCATCTGTTGTACCAGTACAATCAAAGTCTCCCACTGTTGCAACTCCTGGTGAGATGCACAACATTTCTAGCCCTTCAGTGAATGTTTCCAAATGAAGATTTTAAGTTACACTAGTGGCTTTTTTTCACAGACCCTCCAGCATGCAAATTTAAAGATTTTGATTTGAATGACACTTATGGTGGCATGGAAGGTTTCGAGGATGGGTATGAAGGTTCACCTACACCAGCTTTCAAGACAACTGATTCTCCCAATTGTCCATCATGGATGCACCAAGATTCTACTCAAAGCCCACCACAGACTAGTGGCAATTCAGATTCAACATCAGCTCAGTCACTGTCAAGCTCAAATGGAGATGCTCAGGTTTGCAAATTTGTTCCTTGCAACTTAATGTAAAGAAAACTAGTTTCCCAAAACTAAAGGGATCGCTTCAATTTTCAAATGCTCACGACTTATTGGTCTATAATAACATCCTTATCTTTTGATAACAAGTTAACAAGAGGTACATACCAAATAAGGAAATAACTATCTTAAGTGGGCATTAGTTCAAGTGGGATTTTGAACTGGAAGGGGATTTTAGTGCACTTCTACAAGGGTTGGAGTGCTGTCAAACATGCCTTAATTTATGCAGTACTAGATATGCTTCAGATTCTGTTTTAAGGGGTATATAAGTATGAACTTAACTGTACATTTTGAACTTAAAAGTTACACACTTACACGTGCATGACTTTTCAGTACCTTTACTAGAAAAATTGTTGCAGATATCATCAAGAACCAAAAACATTAAGTCTGCAGAGAAATTTGAACAGAATGCACATTTTCCCAGATCCAAATTTAACTGACTCATCTGCACCAGTGAAATGTCTCTAACTAATTCATCGCATCTGTTTCTCACATAAATGCCACATAAACAAGGTGAACTGAACTACCTTTTGATCAGTATAAAGAAGTGCATGAAGAAAGAGAATTTCTACTGATAACAACAGTCGGTCTAGTACATACGTATTGAGATGCCAAATGCCAGTATTTTCTATTTTGTAATATTGCATAGTGGATTTGCACCTCAAATATGTTGAAATGCGTGTGCTCTCTCTCTCTCTCTCTCTCTCTCTCTCTCTCTCTCTCTCACACACACACACACATTGATTGTCATTATGAATGCTTGCAGTGTCGGACTGATAAAATTGTCTTCAAGCTTTTCGAGAAAGTTCCTAGTGATTTACCTCCAGTTTTGCGATCACAGGTAAATTATGCATTCCCTCAGCAACGTGGAAGAGTAAATATCGTAAATCTAACACTTCAATCCTGAATTTCAGATTCTTGGTTGGTTGTCCAGTAGCCCTACTGATATAGAGAGCTATATTAGACCTGGTTGTATTATTTTAACAGTATATCTTCGCTTAGTTGAGTCTGCATGGAAAGAGGTATGATTTTTCAACTAATTATTTCATGTCATGACAATGATCTTTTTGCTTAATGCTTGATAGCTTGATGTTTTCCTCTTATTTACTACAGCTCTCTGATAATATGAGCTCATACCTGGATAAGCTTCTGAATAGTTCCACCGGCAACTTTTGGGCATCTGGTTTGGTATTTGTAATGGTACGGCATCAGATAGCTTTCATGCATAATGGTAAGCCCGAATGCTTAGTTAGCGCAGTGCTCTTCAAGTTCTATTATACATATTTTACATCGGAATTTTGTTATTCTCACCACTCCTTTATATCACTGCAGGTCAACTTATGTTGGACAGACCACTTGCAAACAGTGCTCATCATTACTGCAAGATTTTATGTGTGAGACCAATTGCTGCTCCTTTTTCAACAAAAGTGAATTTCAGGGTAGAAGGCTTGAACCTAGTCAGTGATTCCTCAAGGTACTTTGCCAGTTTGCATCTACAGTTTACATATGTTTGTTCTTGATGGAGACATAGGTTGATGTTTGCTTAAGCTTACTTGTCATCTAAAGATTGATCATCTCATGTTTTCAGGCTAATTTGCTCATTTGAAGGGAGTTGTATATTCCAGGAAGACACCGATAATATAGTTGATGACGTTGAGCATGATGATATTGAATATCTGAACTTCTGTTGTCCTCTCCCTAGTTCAAGAGGGAGAGGATTTGTGGAGGTACAGCTTTTCATATGTCTGCTGTTTTCATGTGTCTGTTTTCTGTCACAACCTTTGAATTTACTAGAATGCCATCGTTAATTTCAGGTTGAAGATGGTGGATTTAGCAACGGCTTCTTCCCTTTCATAATTGCTGAGCAGGACATATGCTCTGAGGTCTGTGAGCTGGAGAGCATATTTGAGTCCTCCAGTCATGAACAGGCAGATGATGACAATGCCAGGAACCAAGCTTTAGAGTTTCTAAATGAGCTGGGCTGGCTTCTTCATAGAGCAAACATAATATCTAAACAGGATAAGGTTCCTCTAGCATCCTTTAACATATGGAGATTCAGAAATCTTGGTATATTTGCCATGGAGCGGGAATGGTGTGCTGTGACCAAACTGCTGTTAGATTTCTTATTTACTGGACTCGTTGATATCGGGTCCCAGTCTCCAGAAGAGGTGGTGTTGTCAGAAAATCTGCTACATGCTGCCGTGCGGATGAAATCTGCCCAAATGGTTAGGTTTCTGCTGGGATACAAGCCAAATGAAAGCCTGAAGAGAACTGCAGAGACATTCCTATTCAGACCTGATGCTCAAGGCCCTTCCAAATTTACCCCCCTCCATATAGCAGCTGCCACAGATGATGCAGAGGATGTATTGGATGCACTTACTAATGATCCTGGACTGGTATTCCCCTTATCTATAATCCTTAGGATATGGTTTTAAGTATTTGCTCGTATTCTATGTGCCTTTTGCACAGAAATATAGACTTCCGTTGCAATTGATGTTGGGCACATCAACAACGGTGCCGTGCCATGTGCACTATAGATCTTTCTATCCTAGTTTTTTTAAAAAATGAATTACACTTGAATATCCTGTCTAATCTTCCTGCTGCTACCTGTTATTGCAGGTTGGGATCAACACGTGGAGAAACGCGCGAGACGGCGCAGGCTTCACCCCAGAAGACTACGCTCGCCAGAGGGGCAACGATGCTTACCTGAATATGGTCGAGAAGAAGATCAATAAGCATCTTGGCAAAGGCCATGTTGTCCTCGGCGTCCCTAGCAGCATACACCCTGTAATAACCGATGGTGTGAAGCCTGGTGAAGTCAGCCTGGAGATCGGCATGACCGTGCCGCCGCCAGCACCGAGCTGCAACGCCTGCAGCCGTCAGGCCCTGATGTACCCCAACTCGACGGCGAGGACCTTCCTGTACAGGCCAGCGATGCTGACCGTGATGGGCATCGCCGTCATCTGCGTCTGCGTCGGCCTGCTACTCCACACCTGTCCAAAGGTTTATGCAGCTCCTACATTCAGATGGGAGCTGTTAGAACGTGGACCAATGTGAGGAGGAGCTTAGAATGGAATAAGTGTAGTTGTGTTTTACGTAAGTCGAGAGCTTAGTGTGCTGGCTAAGATCAAAATAACAGTACTATGTGAGGAGGATGATCCTTTGTATTTAAAGCAGGATCGTTTCGTTTATATAAAAGCTTACATACCGTCATTATTAATTATTATTGATTAGTTATTATTATTTATATTATATTTACCGCCTAACATGTAAACAGAACATATGTTCCATAAAATTCATGGTGTGGTTGTAGAATTCATTCTTTCCAGAGCTTCTTGTTGGAGCCATGCTTCTGGCTGCTTTCGGTTCATTCTAGACTTCTAGTTTTGTGGCTACAAGATTTTGTCGGTGTTGTATTGTTGTAAACTCGGAATAAAACTTTTTTTTTTCGTCAGCGTTGTATTGTTGTAAACTCAGAATAAAACATTTTTTTCATGCGCTTTGTGAGTGTTGTATTGTTGTAGACTCGGAATAGAACTTTTTTTTTTCATGTCTTTGCGCTCCTTTTTTTTTCTTGTCTATATATCACTTGAGATCAAATGTTGATTCAGAAACGATGCTGAATCTTTCCCAACATATTTGTTGTCCAAGTGCACTGGACGCTCAAAATGCGTGAAAACCAGGTCGATTTGAAAAGTTTCTCAAAGTACTATCATGATACTTCCTATCTCGGAGCTTGTTAATGGTACGCTATACGCATCGGCATAATTGTAATATCAAACCCAACGGTAACTAGTGAGATAGGAAAAGATATATTTCAGCACTATGTATCATTCAAAATGTGATTCAATACTGGAATTTCACATGGAGACTGCTCTCATATTGAAATTTCACATGGAGATATAGCATGCTCTCCGGATGTTTTTGGCTTGCACACCTAATTTTTCACTGAACTGATGAGCACCATATGTCATAAATTATACAACCAAAATTTGCGAACTTAATCAGGTTCAAAATGGAACATGTAAGCTTCTTTTTCATCCTGATAAAGACGTACATTTTGCAATGAGTAAGTGATTCTCTGGAGAAATATTTGATGGGACGTAGCTTACAAGATCTGCATCTAAACCCTTCTCTCTAAGCCATAATAGCCTACCAGTATCAATAATATCTTTACACATAAACCCCAAGGCAGCTCTCTCCCCTGCTGGTATACTTCGGATGAGTCTATCGATTCCGCTGACCTCCACATCAGACTTCTCTGCTTTTCCGCACCTGTAAAAAAACGTAGCGACAAACATATTAAGCTTCCGTGACACCATTCGAGAATGATTCAAGAAAACGAACTGTACCATGTTTTTGCCCATACATGATGCATCATAACAATTTAAAAGGGTGATACTTCCCACCAAGATTTGAACAGATGATCTTTTATAGCTATCAGAATGTAGAAGAAAACTAAGGCTTAGTTCAACTAATGGTTCTTACCTGTCTTCTACAGATGAGTCTTCAACCTCTAAAGAGGAATCCGGGGAGCTGTGATCACCATCCACAGCCCAGCTGCTAAACCAAGTCATGGTATGGAAATCTTCCTCTGTAATCCCTAACCCTGAGAGGAATGTCTTATCTGCAATGAGAACAGGAACATTATTCTCTAAGAAGAAAATCTAAAGGTTTTACTGCAATTTTCAAAGGAGGACGGTATAATATTATATAAAGTAGTCAAAGCTGTAAGCGACATAATCGCACGATACATCCTAAACAAAAATAATTAGCAGCATTGGCTGGCAAAAAAAAATTTACTTGCATAGTGATTCCATTGGCACAGATGGTGGCAGCAGGTGGCCAAAGCAAGGCCACATAGATTGCTTTTGCCATATTCTTTTTCATGTGCCTGGTTATACCGTTCATGAAGGCAGCACATCATGGTCATATCTGGAGAGGACAATATTCATTATATACAATCAAGCAATCAGTTAATCTCATTGTCATGTATTATACATCAGTTTGTCGGAGTATAAAATCCATGAATAAATTTCATATGTTAGAACTTAGAACCACCTGTTGCAGGTCCACATAGATGCTTTCCAATTGCTAGATAATGAAGTCCACTCAATGCCTCTATTCCTTGAAGGTTCAAATCTTCAACTGCATTGTGTTTATGTTTCTTATGAGTGCTTATATCTCTTACTATCTCAAATCACAGGGTATGAATGTGACAATTCGTTTTAAGAACACAGAGACCACCCACACATGCATATAAGTGAACTGATAACAAACACATTTGGCCTTCAGCACCAAAGGTGCCTAAAAACCACTTCAAAGAATGAAAAGAAATCTTACTATCAATTCTCAAACGCTTCAAAGTAACGCCTTCATTTTGTCGCAAACTTCGATCAGCCTAGAAAGTACAGAGAAAAGGAAGAAACAGGGCAACAACAGAGCAGTCAAAGAACCAACCTAAGCTGAAATTAGATTTAACACAACAAGCACTTTCAGAAAATAACAAAACAATAAAAGTTTTACTGCAAATCATGAGGAATACAGCAACAATGTGTCGAAACAAACTCAAACTTCATAAGGCACTAGACACAGATAGGACAGTGCATTAAATTCAAAATCACTGTAAACAACCTATACATGCCTTCATACTTAAAGTTGAGACATCTTAAACAACGAACACAAAATACTGAATTAACTATTGTTGAGCATAATAGCAAGCCAATAAATTGCAGATATATTCTAATCTGGCACAGAAATAAGTAATGTCCTTCTAAATTTCTACATGAAAAATAAGCTGAAATTGATTTCAAAAGGTCGAATAACCAATGGCAACTGTCCATGTTTGACAAGCTCAAAGTAGATATCATCCTGAGGCAATATGAACAGAGAAACTGACCTTGAGCTTGTATGATCTTCTCTCAACCAAGAAAACATTCCTAATCCCGTAGCAGTCTGCCAGCATCTGAGTCAAGTACCCTCTCCCTGCTCCGAATTCCACCACTGCCGGAGCATTTTTCACACCATTCTCCTCCGCCACCTCACCTCCCTTCTGCAGCAAACCAAATGCCTCCATATTGCCAATGATGGATGCCTGCTGCGTGACATGCTTTTCCTGGTATGGCACCTTCCTGCCCAACACACCAGCTTAAATCACTCCTCACTACAAAATCCTCAAAAAAATCCAACCCTTACACCATCAAAAGTGGTAAGCACACACACCTATCAACCTGGTTCCTCATCCAATTGTCGCAAGCATCTGTAACAAGAAATGAATCACGCATTGCCATGGCCGCCGACGCATGCGCCAACTTGATCTTCTCAATCAAGGCGCGCAATTCATCCTTGGTGAGCTTGTGCACCAATGCACGCTTAGCGGCCGAGGTGACACCCCCACCGCCTTCTCCCCCACCGGAGTTGATGCCCTTGGAGTAGAACGGCTGCGCTGCGAGCGCCGCGGCCTGCTTCTTGAGGGGGCACTTGCCGACGTGCGCCTCCAGGTTCTCCTCGAGCACGGTGCTGCCCAAGACAAGGCGGCATTAGCGGATAGGGACGCTGGTGATGGAGATCACTTGGCGGTGGTATAGGATTTTGGGGGGTCTTACTGCGAGGGGTCGACGGGGCAGGGGACAAGGCGGCGGAAGGGCGCACCGGCATCGGAGGCGGAATCCGGGAGGTGGTTCCCACAGTACCTGAGGAGGAGGGGGAGGAGGCGGCGATGGGGGTTAGGGTTAGGGTTAGGGTTCAGGGGTTAAGCAGGAAGGTAACTCGGAGAGCTGCTTACTGAGAGGTTGGGAGCGGAGTGTTGGCGCAGTGGCGGCGCTTGTTAGGGAGCCAGAAGTGGCAACGGCCCGGAGGCGGAGGAGGCGGCGGCGACGAGGGCTTCCGTTTCGCCGGAGCACGGCCCATCTCTGACAGCGGCGGCGGCGAGCGGGAGACGCCGGAGGCGGAGAGGGAGCAGAAGTGCAGACCCCCGGTGTGAACACAACCGAAGGGGAAATGCGTGACGTCATTGCTAAATTTGCATCTTATGAATTTGTTTTTTTTTAAAAAAATAAATTTCGAGTGAATTCGAACATGTGAAGGTGTCCTCCACGTTTGACACAAAATCAGATTATCGTACCGCTACATATCCCTTATAAATTTGACGTTAAAAAAATATTACTAGATTACTCCCTCCATTCTCATTTATTTAACACCGCGCACTAATAAACTAACCAACGTCAAATGAAAAAAATAGATACTTCCTCCATTCTCATTTATTTGACACCGGTTAACTAATCCACGTTAAAAATAAAAAGAGATAGAGGGAGTAGATTGAAAAACACAATAGCCATTTTTCATTCGCAGAGCGATACTAGAACTAACCGAGAAGAGACATAAACACAAATTATGTCAGACAAATTTACAAATTCAAAACTCAAAAATTGTTACATGAAAACATGCTCCACTGAGTCCAAAAGGTTGCATCATGATGAGATGCAATGGCAACCAACATATAATATTACAAACGAACAAACACAATTTTACAAACCACATGCTATGACACCACGTCACCATTGATCGCCTAATAAGAAAAAGGGATCATCTTTCCAGTCAAAACGCGGTAAAATTTATCGTAAAGATATGTTTTTCTTTTAAATTAAATTAATGGCGTCGGTCCGTGTCACAGGCCGACGGACTGGAGCACGGCGTAGTTGACGGCGGTGGTGGCGCCGTCGACGACGAGGTTGTGGCCGCTGACGAAGGCGGCCTGGTCGGAGGCGAGGAAGAGCATGGCCTCCGCGACGTCCGCCGCCTTGAGCACCTTCCCGCGGAGCACGTTGTGGGGCTCCGCCGCCGCCTCCATCTCCTCGGGGCTCATCCCCGTCAGCCCGCAGCTCAGCGGCGTCGCCACGCCGCCGGGGGACACGCAGTTCACGCGCACGCCGTGCCGCCCGAGCTCGCCGGCCGCCGCGCGCACCAGCCCCAGCACCGCGTGCTTCGACGCCGTGTACGCCGCCGGCCCGAACCCGCCCTGGCACGACGCCACGCTCGCCGTGCACACGATGGCGCCGCGGGTGCCGCGCGACACCATGGCGCGCGCCGCGTGCTTCACGCACGCCGCCGCGCCGCGGAAGTTCACCGACATCACCCGGTCCAGAGCCGCGAGGTCCATGTCCACGACGGGCCCCGTCGGGAGCAGCACGCCGGCGTTGCTCACCATCACGTCGAGCCGCCCGTGCTCCGCCACCGCGGCGGCCACCGCCGCCTCCACCTGCGCCTCGTCCGTCACGTCGCACCGCACGTACCGGCACCCGCCCCCCGCCACCGACGCCGCCACCGCCTCGCCCAGCTCGTCCTGGACGTCGGCGATGACCACCGTCGCGCCGCACGACGCGAACAGCCGCGCCGCCGCCTCGCCGATGCCGCTCGCGCCGCCGGTCACGATGGCCACCTTGCCGTCCATCCTGCACGCCCCCGCTCAAATCCATCAAACGAATTCGACCCAAACCAATCCAACATCCTCAAATCTAAAAAAAAATCAAACGAAAAAAACTACTAGTAGCTGCGAGTGACTCACCTTGTCTTCGACATGATGCAATGCAAAAGCTGTTTCGTGTCTGCCTTCTGCATCGGGATGTGGTTGTTTATATAGTGCTCAATTCGCTTTTAAAAGTCGTCAACTATGCCAATATTTTACTCAAAAGCAAAATTCTTTTTAAAATTCAGAGGAATGGGCATATATATCCGTACACGACGAGTATAAAATACTCCAAAACCCAATTCTATTATTAATCCAAATCAACAGAATGCCACATCCTTCAAACCTTCAATTCAATATTTCATCAATTAGGTAGCAGCACAACTAAAAAAAAAACGAAAAACGAGTATCCAAGAACACGGCGTTTCCAAATCCAGTGAGATCATCAGACAGACAAATCCCAGAGAAACAATAGACATGGAAGCATTGAAAAACTCATCAGAGTTTCAGTTTTATAATAGATGGATGAAGCGGAGAAGACGAGCTGAGCTGGAGAAGACAAAAGCGGTTGATCCAAGCACGCTGTCATGTGGGGAACACCATGAACCCTAATCATCTCGCGTTGCAAATCCGGTCCCAATGCTCATGGCGCTTTGCTTACCATCACTGTCATTAGCGGATGAGAAGATGAGCTTAACAAGATCAATTCAAGAACAGAAAGGATAAGAGGAGGAAATCTAGAGTTGGATTTGGGTTGGGTCGCTGCCTTCATTTCTACTGCTAATGATTACTCCACGACAGGGTCGGCTGCAATGCAATGCTGCATCCTGATCCTGCAAGAAACTCCATGCACTGCATGTTCACTTTCAGGAAAAGATGCAGTCAATCGAACGCGAAGCTTGCCGGGATTTCTGTTCTTGCTTGTAATTGTTGCTGAAGCATTCCACTCTCGTAAGTTTGCTTATGACTGATAAGCGTGAAAAAATAAACAAGCAACCAAAAATAATTTATATGCAAAACTTTTATATTTACGAACTTAGCGATTTAAAAGCTAGTACTTAAAAATAAACTACAATGAAAAAACCTCCAATCAACTGTAAAATTAAGTTTTAAAATTCTGATTTAGGCTGTGTATAACTATATTGTCGGTGCCTGTCTTACTAACTTTACTGTTACCGTTACTGTTAGATGCTGCCTGTTGGTGACTGATTGCCTGACAGAAGAAAAGAAAAGAAAAGATAATAGATACTACAGGTATTGTTCAGAGAACGACAATAGTGAATTGTCTGTAATGTGGTATGGTCAATGGCCGCAATTATTGGATCTCACGCCAGTTTTCTCGCACTGGCATGTTTAATTGTTTGCACTGCTGCTAATGCTATCTCCCAAAGTCAATTAGCTTCAGATTAGTTATTGGCTCTCTGACCCTGCTGATATGACAGCTCCCTTGGTTTCATCTGCCAGTAGGATCATTTGCAGTAGTCAAAGCACAAGACTTTTGCTTCAGAATTGACTTCTATCGCACTGAATGACTGAATGACCATATCATTTGAAGTTTGAACTACTAGAAGAATGCAATGTTTTCAGAAGGAGCACAGTTCCTTTTCCTGTGCAAAAGTTTGATTCTCGGATTAAAGAATTACACAGTAGCAGTGTGCTTTGTAAGTAGACTTTCAAAGCAGTATATAGCACTTGAACTGAGTTGCATGGATGGACCATACATGTGACAGGACCAGCAGACATCTTTCAGAAGAAAATAGGGGAAAACTAACACACTTGGAATTGAATTTTTGCAAATTGAAGCAATAGTTCAGATAGATATATATGGACCAGCAAAGGTGAGCTGTTACCTCAATGTCTATTGGTTATTACCAGCCAGAGTTTCTTTGCATTTAATGACGAAATGCTTTGAAAAGCACTCAGACTATGGAAGGATTTGAAACAAAAGGGACATGGTAGTTATGCACTAAAAGAAATTAAGTAAACCAAAACACCAACACTATTTGGTTGTTGTCTACTAGTACCAACTACCATTTTTTCCACATTATACGTAGACATAGTAACTATTTACACAGTGTTGTTGATATTATCTTCGATATGTCCAAAAATCGGTTAAGCTAGGACCATTTAGAAAAATCATTGAGGCTAACTACCTTGACACGTCTTGATCAAATAGCTGTGGGATTTATTATCCTATGAACACAGGTTCTTTGCCTTGCCACTTATGTCAGCAGCGACAACGTATATACATTGTATTGTACTATGTAGCCTTATTGTACTGTTCAATGTTCATGCATTCATGTAAGTAGCTGTTAGTTTGCCACTGTCGGTCTAAACGAATCAACGTGTTGGAATTGATGGATGCGACTCTGCTCACTGGACTCAATGATCAGGTTTATCCTACACAATTCATCTGTCTAAATGATTAGTAAATTATACTCCCTATTTTTTTAACTAACCAACGTCAATTAGAAAAAAAACAACAGAGGTAGTATAATATTACTCCATCCGTCTCATTTTAAGTGCAGCCATGGTTTTTCGCGCCTAACTTTAACAGTCCGTCTTAATTGAAATTGTTTTAAAAAAAATTTAAAACATAAGTCACGAGTAAAGTACTATTCATGTTTTATCATCTCATAACAACAAAAGTACTAATTATAAAAAATTTTCAAATAAGATGGACGATCAAAGTTGAGCGTGGAAACTTATGGTTGCATTTAAAATGAGACGGAGGAAGTATGATGCATTTGACTTATAGTAATGTATAGTAGGGCATACATATTGCAACGGGTATAGATAACTGTAGAATTCACATCTTCCTTGGTGTTAGTGTATAGATAACTGTAAAATTCAGATCAATCTAACATTGTCATGACAAGTGACGACTATAAGAAGCAAACTTTAGTTTTTGCTATGAAAACTTTTTACACTGCTTCCTAGTGAGAATAGGAGAGGATGCAATTTAGTGTTGGTAAGAAAAACCATGGTAGTCATAAAAGATATAATATAATGTCATAAACAAGACAGGTGTGGGCTGGCCGCTATAGGCTGGCCTTCTAGTTCTAGGGCTAATGGGCTATTGCGTCAATAACTAATCAACTATGTTGTCAGCCCTTAGGTAACCACATTGCCTTTTCTTAATAAAACCGTTCAATATTTTACTTGGAAGTAAAGATGATACTACAAACACGACTTTGTTTGAGCTTTGTATTCCTTTTACCCATACATCTTTTCCTTCTCTTTTAAGCATTTATATTTGTATTCAGAAATATTTTCTGGACTAGATAGAGTACCAAAGATGTTGTTATACCTAAAGGCTTTCTATGGAACATGTGATTTGAAAAAATGCAAAAGAAAATGAAAAAAAAAATAGAGGATTGGAGTGTCATATATGGACAAATCCTACATAAATTTGAAACATAGTAACATACTATGTTTGGATGGTTCATGGGACTATGAATTTGATATAATCATAAAATGGGTATGCCAACTCACAAGTTTTTTCCTCATCCATCCCAACCACATTTTTCTACCTAGACCTATCCTTGGGTATCCCTATATTCATATTCATATTAGACTGAGTTTATTTCACCATTTTCACAACTTCTATTTTCTCGTTTTCATGCACATGATTTTCAAGCTGCTAATTTTCAAGCTGCTAAATGCAGTTATTTTTTTTGCAAAAAAAGAGAGAAAAGTTGGCTTAAGACATCGGGCCTGTTCACTTTGATGCCAAAAAAAACCTTACCAAATTTTGGCATTACCATTTTGGCAACTTGCCAAAATTTTAGTAGGATTTCTTATATAGTTACTAAAATTTGGCAGCAAACTAAATGTAGCCACTTTTTTTAAGTGAACAGGCCCATCATGCCAATCCATTTTAAGTTTTTTAAGCTAACAATACACCGTTTTGTTTTGCGTGCTGTGGGGGAGAGGTTCCTAACCCCATTGTGCAACACAACCTTATTTGGATAGGGGATAGATAAAAAAAATATATCCATTTAAATTTTGGATATAGTGAGGGTATTACTCATTTTGTCCATTTTATATGAACCCATTTGCTATGTGTAAAATTTAGACCTAAAATTTTTAAACTAATGTTCATATTAAAAAAAACTGATTAAAATTCGGGAGATGATTTATTATATAGAGGAGCAACTTTGTATAAATTTTGAACCATTTCTACATGGTCAATTATTTTATTTTATTTTTTATTCTATTTTTTAAAAATTATATTTCTACTTGGACTTTATTTTTATATTTAAAATTTGTATTGTCTCTTCACTTACCCATTGATGAGTAATACTCAATTATGGGATGGATAAAATTGAGTATGAATAAGTGTTACCCTTTATGCTTCCCTGGTGGCAGATCAATAATTATGCATTTTATCAAAAGGAAAAAAATAAATTAACATATAGCAAAAGAGAAAAAAAATAATACTATTAATCAATAACAAAAACTTACTTCCTCTGTCCTATTTTAAGTGCAACCATGAATTTCCGTGTCCAACTTTGATTGTCTGTTTTATTTTATTTTTTTTGTGATTAGTATTTTTGTTTTTATGAGATGATAAAACATGAATAGTACTCTTTCATTTCCAAATTGATCATCATATAATGGAATTCAAAATTTCTCAAATTGATTATCATATAACCGTATGGATACAGATTTTATCAAAATACAATTAATGCAACATGGGAGAATATGTACATGCTAAGGTGTAATTGGTATAGTGTTTAATCGATGCATGTATTATAGGAGAATGTGTGCATGGTGTCTTGATTGATGTGATTTAAATTATCATTGGTCTTGGTGTATAAAGATATATGATGATCATTTTAGGAAGGAGGAGTACTTTACTCATGACTTATAGTTTTCATTTTTTTAATTTTTTTAAATACGATATATGATTAAAGTTAGATGTACTCCCTCCGTCAAAAAAAAAGACAAACCCTGGGTTTCCGTGTCCAACGTTTGACCGTCCGTTACGCATAAAGTATTAATCATGTTTTATCATCTAACAACAATAAAAATACTAATTATAAAAAAATTCATATAAAACAGACAGTTAAACGTTGGACACGGAAAATCAAAGTTTATCTTTTTTTTTATTTTACGGAGAGAGTAGAAAACTATGGCGACACTTAAAATGCTGACGGAGGGAGTAAGACAGATACCAAAATACCAATATCTCATATTCTCGGGCATCCTTGCGTAATTGTGCCCAAGAAAAAAAGAGCAAATCGTGGCGTCGTGCAGTGCGGTGCGTCGAGGATATTTTCCCCGCAGAAATCCTAAATTCCCCCGTCCCCTCTCGGCGTCGACTCCTCGTGAGTGACTTCGCCCGCCGCCGCCTGCGCCACCGCCGATCCCCATCCGTCCCGCCACCGCGAGCGGGCGAGCAGCGGCGCCGTCGTCCGTCCGCCCTGCTGCTTCCGCCGCATCGCATCCCGGTGAGCATCCCGTCCTCTTCCTCATTCATCTCTCTCTCTCTACCCACCCACTTTTTTTTTCTTCTCGAATTTGTATTAACCCTAGCTTCTGTTCTAGAAATTTGCGTTAGACTCAGTACTAATAACAGTTTCTTTGCTCCCAAAATTTTTCGTGGGTTCGACTGAACCCCCATGTGGCCATGTCCGTTGTTAGATCCGCCACTGCGTTATATCCTCGTGTTTTTGATTGGGTGGCTTATCAAATAATAGGTTTCTGAATGTATTATACAAATATCTTGTGCAACCTACCCTTTTATGGTTGTTATTGCCTTTATTTAGGTCTTTGCTTTGATACTCTTTTAGTAGAAAAGGCTTGCGCTAACCTCGAATCAGTATTCTGTTACTAATGCTTTTAGGTCTTTGCTTTGGTACTCTTTTAGTAGAAAAGGGCTTGCACTAACCTCGAATGAAAATTCGGTTACTAATGAGTCGGGGCATCGCGACAAAACACTAAACACTGAAATGTAAAATTAGCTCTGTCCTATTCTGGTGTAAATTAGTTAATCAAAATACACTTCTGTTGTCATCCTAAACCAACTATTCTTAATTCTCAGCCATGACTTCAATTTCATGTTTCTCTTGTGATTGGTTGGGGCTAAAATTTGTTCAATACAGTTTGTTGCTCAAGGGATGAATGCCAACAATTTACTGTCACTCATTGATGTAGGTTCCGTTAACACACTTTTACTATGTCTAATGGATGAGACTGCATTAAGTAATCGATATACCCTCTAAATATGCTATCCTTTCAATGTAATTCGCACCCGACTACATTAACCTGCTGACAGTCACATGCAATTGTCTCTTGCTGAGTGCATGTACTGCATTTGAGTCCCAGTGACTATTTATGTGCTTAGAGATTAATAAACTTCTTATTATATGGAGCACTAAAGCATGGCACATATTTTCTAGTAGGTTTATTTTATATCCATCCTTATGGCATGTCTTTTTGTACCCATAGGTACTGTTTTACCAAGGAAATATGGACAGATTTGTATAACATTGCCTAAGCTTTGAATCTACTTTGAAACCATGGCCCGAAAAGGAAGTCAAAGTAAAAGTGTTCTGAATCATGCTTCACCTAACCGACAAAATGCAGCTAATTGTGAGGTACTAAATACACCAGAAAGTGATGTGATGGATGGTGAAAATCGAAGTTCACATGTTCAAGGTGGTTCAAATGTTTCTGGAGTAAACTATGGCCAGAAAACAAAAGGTATCAAGAAGAATAACAGAAGCAATGGCATTTCATCCTCTGGCAAATCAGATGACAGAGCCTCAAAAAAGCAGTCAGTGGACACCAATTATGATATAGGTAATTCAGGAGAAAATGACAATGAGTTATCATCCAGCACTTCCAAAGCAAGAAGAGATAGCAAGAGATCATCACGGCGTGGATGTGGTAAAAACTCATCGATAGAACAAACCCCAATGCCAGTTTTTGCAGAAAAAGTTTTGGAGAAGACCAGGTGCATAGCTTGCATGGCTGCATCCATTTTTAGGGCTTCCGTGATGTATATAATAGAAGAAAGCAAATTGCTACTTGAGAGAAATAGGCCAGCAATCACAACTTTCATGGCTATTGTGCACAAGGGGCATGACTATGTCCGCAGCAAAATTAAGTATACTTATCCTATTTGTCGGGCATGGATGTTTAGTGCTGGAAAGTTGATATTGCTCTTGTTGGCAGTTTGGTTCAACTGCAACATAAGGGGCTTCGATTCTTTGCTACGCCTAGGGACAAACTCACTCCTTACAGTACTTTGGTGCAGTACACTATCAGTTTTTGCAATGATTGGACTAAAGAAAATGCTAATATTAATGGTATGATTCAGCTATCCTTTTGCCTTTTGAGTTGCCTCTGCTGTGAATGTTTACTAGGCTATGTTGCATGATGCAACCAAGAGATATTATTGTTGTACAGTTCTTGCCTACAGTTCGGTTTTTCTCCACAAAACAACATAACTATGATGAAATAATGCAATGAGTATAGATTAATGGGCATTAATAGTGAAAGTTTGAATTATGAAATGGAAATAGATGCTCCTGACATATTTTCGAAAACATTCATCAATTCTATTCTCTCTGTGACCCAGGTAATTGCTGCTGCTGTAGTTGCCTTTGTTGGTCTTGGTTTTGCTGTTCTGGTTATCGCAGTGGCTGCAGTGGTGATTTTGTGGCTGTATGGAAGCTTTTGGACAACAAGCGGCATCATAATTCTCGGAGGTAATATTCTACAGTTTGTTTACTATTAGTCAAGTATATCCAGCACTTGAGAATGTCTAAGAATGCTGTAATATTTCTTGAATCACAGGTGCTTCCTTTTTCCTGAAGCATGAACGTTTTGCATTGCTTGTCACCTGCCTATATTCAATGTATTGTGCAAAAAACTATGTTGGATGGCTTGGGTTACTTTTGAGCCTGAACTTATCTTTCATTTCAAGTGATGTTCTTGTGCAACTCCTAAAGAACAATGTAGACAATAACAAATCTGCTGGCTCTTCAAGGAACTCTGAGCAAAATTCAGGCAAATCAGGCTTCTTTGGAGAATTTCGACAATCATCAGCAGATAATACCTCACAGTCCGAGTATGCTCAACCATCAGATCGGGGCCCTGGCGATCCTTCAACTAGTGGAGCTGAGAAAGAGTTGACCTCTGAAGATGAAGTGTCTCGTTTACTGAACTGCACTGATCACTATTCAGCATTAGGCTTCCATCGTTATGAAAATATAGATGTATCATTACTCAAGAGAGAATACAAGAAAAAGGTGATACTATAAACATTAACCATCATTGTGCACCAGACTGTTCATGTTCTGCAAAGTTGTAGTATGTAAAGTTATTTGTTAATTAAATTTAATAATTTCGCAGGCTATGTTAGTCCACCCTGATAAGAACATGGGCAATGATAAAGCTGCTGATGCATTTAAAAAACTTCAAAATGCATACGAGGTTTGCATGTATTTCTTGTTGAGTTAACCGCATATCTGATAAATATCCTATATATTAATGAGGCCCCAATTCAAAATACACAGGTTCTTCTTGATTCTTTGAAACGGAAGACATATGATGATGAGCTAAGGAGGGAGGAGCTTTTGAACTACTTCAGACGGTTTCAGAGTGCTTCTCAAAAGGTCTTATTAGATATTCCTTTTTCTGAGTGTTCATTTGTGCTTTGCTATATTTTTTTTCCTAAATCTTCTTTCTTTAAAGTAGTTCCAAGCAGCATGCTGAGAACTATTTGCAACTGCTGATAGCCCATGAACTTTGGTTGGCTCTTATCGGATGAAAACTGTCTAGTTTAGCTGGACTGAATCCTCAATTTTTGTTGTCCAAATGATTTTGAAGCGCATGTGGAATAGCTTGCATTGCATAACTAAAGTAATTATATATATATACATATCTTTAAGTATCAAACAAGAGGATGAGCCTGCCTGAGGTCCTGGGTGAAACTGAATTGGTCTTTGTCTGATTCATGTTATAGATTAACAGTTTGTGTTACTGGAGCAGGATTCTTGTTATAGCTCAATGGTAGATTCATATGCGGCATTTGGCAATTGTAGTTTTGGCAGTTGAAATGGTGTTATACTTGCAATCTTGTCAAGCACTGCATCTGCCAAAAGCAAAATTTTGGCTTACCACCATCAAATGTTTTTTTTGTTCTGTAGTCAATTCACTAAAGATGGTCTGAAGGAAGTGTCAGTATGCACACATGGTTTTACTTGTACCAATAGTATTTTAGTAGTATGTGCTGCAAAGAAACTGCTCTTTTGGATTGGGCATATTCTTCCTGGTTTCCTATCAGTTGCTTTAATCTGTCCTCTTCCTTGTAACTGGTTATTCTTCTGGTTGGCTTGATATTCTTTTCTTATTTGTTTTCTCTCTAATTGCTAGAAAGGAGGAAGTGGTATTTTTCGACAAGGGTTTAGCCCTTCTGAAGGTGTTGATGAAGGACCTTATGGTTTATCAAGAAGAATAGCCTGCAAGAAATGTGGTGACTTCCACCTGTGGATTTATACAGGAAGAGCTAAATCGCAAGCTAGATGGTGTCAGGTATTTTCTTTTGGCATGTGGTTGTTTTTACTTTTGATACCATGCTTCAAATCTGTTATGAAACTTCTGTGTTTTCTGCACCATAGGACTGCAATGATTTTCACCAAGCTAAAGATGGGGATGGATGGGTTGAGCAGTCTTTTCAACCAGTTCTATTTGGGTTGCTGCACAAGGTAATGTCAGGTTATTCGAGCCCTTGCCCAATACTGAAAATTCAGCTTCTTTTTGAACTAAGAAGAATTATTTGTGTGGTAACTAGCGATCAAAAATGTGCTATGACTGTCATGTAATGTTGTTTATTGTTATGCAGCCTGAATTGCCTCATGCATATGTTTGTGCTGAAAGCATCATTTTCGATGTCACCGAGTGGTTCACCTGTCAGGTAATTCAGATATTCTTCAATGAAATTTCTGATTCGTTCAGTTGCTTGTTTAATATTGCTCCAACATGGTGGCTTGTTTTGTACATAAGGGCCTTATCTATTTTATTCTTCTAACAATGTTCATGCAAGACAATATACAGCAAGGGTTGCATGTTGAATGCTCATAGCTATGATCTCTGGTCTGTACGGTATACAATACACTATCATGTAGTTCTGCGCTTTAAAACGTATACAGATGCTATGCAACATGAGTACTATATGCAGTATTGCCGAAATGCTAAATTATTTCATCCACTGAAAGCTTTGTTTTAGGTCATTAAAACTGTGAGCAGGGACATTAAGGAGAACAATTATTATTGTTTTTTAAGACTAACGATTACTAATATCAACTTGAAGATCTGGCAAAAAGTAGTACTGGGGGGGGGGGATTTCTCTACTCTCCATGTAAGGCCTTTGTGTTATGGATAGGAAAACATTACACTATTCACAGTAACACACAAACACATAGACTGGTTGAGGTGCCCAATGGAGTTATCCAACAATGTGATGCACCGACAAATTGTCTCTGCCTATTGAGCAGAGAGAAAATAGAGATTTATGAATTGATATGCAACTGTTCTGTTCTTCAGGGAATGAGATGCCCCGCGAACACTCACAAGCCGAGCTTCCATGTCAATGCCAGCTTGTTAAAGCAGAATAGTGGCAAGGGGAGCACCTCGGCGCAGAGGGGTGGAGGGATCCCTAATGGTGTAAACATGGATGGCGGAATCGATGAAGAGGAGTTCTTCGAGTGGTTGCAGAATGCACTGCAGTCTGGCATGTTTGAATCGTTTGGCGCGCAAAACGAGCCCCCTTCCCCTGGAAGTGGAAGCAATGCCAAGGGTAGTAATAGCAGTAGTAAGAAAAAGAAGAAGGGCAAGAAGCAATGGTAACTGAAGAAGGTCCGATAATGGCGATTCTTCTTTGTGAGCAGAAAGAAGTAAAACATATGGTGTTTGTTCGGTATAGTTATGCAGGAAAACACCCCAATAATAGGGGTCCTAGATGCTCAACCATCCTGACTCGCTTTAAGGCGATGCCATTCAAAATCATGATTCATCTTGCTGTGATTTTTCATATGGAGAATTAGAAATCAGAAGAGAAGAAAGGGCCATGTATGTGGCAAAGATTGTTGGAATGTAAAGCGCAAAATATGTTGAGCCTACATGATTGAATTGTTTGGACAGGTAGCGCAAGCTACAATTTCCATACACTTGTCATCAGATATATTACATTGTTGCTGATGTCTCGTTGATACATAGAAATCTTTCTGCCCTTGCTTTACGATTCAATTGTGATTTTACCCCTACTTTTTAGGGTTTGTGATTTTGCCCTTGTTTTTCTGAAATAAAGCAGCCGTCTAGCCTTGGTTTTGATAGAAGTTTGGTGGGTCCGGAATTTCAGATTTAAACGAAGATAGAAAATGTTATTATCATTTTTGAATGACCATTCTACCCTTACCCTTGGTTCAATGAAAGAACCAAATCCCCAATCCCTATCCCGATTTCCACTCCAAAACCCGGCGGTGGCGGCGGCTACGCGCGGCAGGGAGGAGCGGCGGCGGGGCCAGCTGCCACGGAATAGCGCGCGGCGGAGTCGGGCGCGGGCAGGGAGGCGCTGCGGCGGCAGCGTCGCGCGTGCATGGAGGCGCGGCGCGGCGGCCGGTGGCCCCGCGGTCAGCGCGCGGCGGAGAGGAGCGGCGGCTCCGTCAGCCAGCCAGCGAGCGAGCAGCGAGCAGGTAGCTTGGCGGCGGGATGGCGCTGTTAAAGGATGTAGGCAGGCGCGGCGGCGACCTCGGGCTGGAGCGCAGGCTAGGGACGCAGGGAGGCACGACTTGCTGCCGGCGGGCTGGCGCTCCTAACCTCTTGCCGGCGCAGGGACGGAGGCCTAGCGCTATTGAAAATACAGGATTAAGAGACATAATGGAGTAAATCTTGTGCATGGTGGAAATCTGCTGCAAATCCCCTGTTTTCTTTCCCATTTTCCTGTCTTGTATCTGCGAGAGATTTGTTTGGTGAATGGTGATTTCTTCCTGTGATGAATCTTGTTGGTGAATTTTTGCACCCGATGCAAGTTCTTTGAAAATGCTGCAGAAATGATGTTAAATTCTTCCAAAATTTGTCAAAGTTTGGTCAAATTCGAAATATATACGCATTATATCAAGAAAGGAGAGGCAAATGTGTAAGGGTATACAAGTCCTTCTACTGCTAAGTTGACGCTGTTAAGTGATGCTAACAGAATAGGGGCAAAACAGAGCTTCGTTTGAAAAAAGTGAGGGCAAAATCACAAACCCTAAAAAGTTAGGGTAAAATCACAATTGCAACTCAAAGTGAGGATAAGAACACAATTGCCCCTAGAAGAAATATGTTACTACCTGCCTAAAGAACTGAGAATATAAGGTGAAGCAGCAATCGAATTTCGCAGTTCATTATAACTTGATATGAGCATTTGGATGAGTACAACCAGTGTGTCTTACACTTCCCCTTAATTAACTGCGGGATTAAGGATGCTAATTACAAGCCACGTAGTGGAGTACACAACAGTAGTAGACAGTAGAGTAGTTGATTAGTAAATTAATTGCTCTTGTTGTTGTTGGCGACGACGCCATCGTTGCCGGCGAGCACGAGGTACTTGTCCCTCCGCGTGAGCGCCGTGCAGGTGTACCCCAGCGTCTCCGCGATCCGGCGCTGCACCTCGTTGGCCACCTCCGGGCCGCCGCCGCCGCCGGCGACGGGGTCGAGGAAGTGCACGACGTAGGCCGGCGAGGGGTTCATGAGGAGGAAGAAGGGGTCGAGCATCTTCCACCCCCCGGCCGTGGTGCCATGGAACATGGCCACCTCCGAGTGCAGCGCCACGGGCTGCACGTCGGCGCCGAGCTCCGTGAAGAGCGGGCTGAAGCGCAGCAGGAACGGCTCGCGGCAGGTGGTCCCCTCCGGGCACACCACCAGGCCGCCGCCGCCGCCGCCGCGCCGGGAGCGGGAGAGGTGGGCCTGCATGGCGGCGCGGTCGGCGGCGCGGTCGCGGGTGAGGCGGAAGGTGCGGATCGGGGCGAGGATCTCGGAGAGGCGGCTGATGCTGTAGGTGGCGGCGGCGAGGTCGGCGCGGCCGGCGACGGCGGAGACATAGAGCGGGTCGAGGAGGGAGCGGTGGTTGCAGACGAAGAGGTCCAAGACCGCGGCGGCCCGCAGCGTGGAGGCGGCGATGCAGCGGCAGTGGATGCCGAGGGCGGCGGCGATCGGGGCGGCGAGGGAGAAGGGGAGGACGACGACGATGAGGGCGACGCGGAGGAGGGCGAGGGGCACGGCCAGCGGCAGCCACACGAACATGGCCAGCGTCGCCGACGTCGTCGGCCGGAACGCGACGCGGCCGTCGTGGAAGATGAGGGGCTTCGCGTATCGCCGGGGATGGAGGGGACGCCATCGCCGCCGCGCCCACTCCGACGCCACGTACACCTCCTGCATTCATTAATGTTTGCCCATTCTCACTTGATTAATCTATCTTGCATCTTCCTTTCTACTCTCTCCCTAAAAAAAAAAAATCAACTTCTAGAGCTTAAATTTTATCAAAAAAAACTTGTACAATCTTATCTATTCTCAGCATGTAAAATGAAAAGTTTTATTCCTTCGATACTCTTTACCTATCTATCACCATTACTATTTTTTCAATAATAAAAAGTATTTTGTTCATTTTTACTCTGCACTAACTTTATATAGGGATGCGAGGGTTTGATTTTATATGGGATGGAGGGAGTACACAATGTGTTCAGTACCATCGCACAACACCTCAACACCATGAATGCGTCCGTTTTAACCCACAGTAAAAGTATCGGGATCAATAGTAAATCTTTAGCCCGATTAAAAAAAATGTAATCTTTATATTAATTATTTGAGCGTGTAAATATTTTTCTAAAACACGGAACAAACTCAGACGTACACAAAAACGCGCACACTCTATCCCTGTGAGCATTTTTAAAAAGACTGAGCGACATTCTTAAGATTGATAAAGTCATCGCGAGCGTCTCTCTATCCCTATAATGAAAAGAATATTAATTATAAATGCGAGCACGTGAGCTAAGTCTAGGAATTGAACCCGAAAGACAGTTTCCACCACAAGGAACCCACGCAGTTACAAAATTACTAATTAGCGATCGACTGCGTGTCTGGTCAGTTTCCGATCATGCCTTTTTTTTCTATTTTTATACATACACGCATAATTTGTACATAGAAGTATAAAGTTTATATGCGTATGTGTATTTTTTATACATCTAAAAAGTATACACACAATTTTTCTAAATATAGAAAATTTGTAGATGTATATGTGAAGTTTATACTTTGTATACATACATATAAATTTAGTATATATACATGTATAAACTTGGTATATATACATGTACACAGTTTATACGTGTGTATACAAAAGTACAGTGGTGGAGCAAAGATGCCATGAAGCCCAGACAAGTATTAGCGTTTTTCAGTAATCAACTAATTTTTTGGGACATCAAATGCTATCTACAGCCGAGACGCCAGCGACAGAGCCTAAGCGACCGCCCGACCTGCCCTTGAGTTAGCTCTACCACTGCAAAAGTATGTACAAACGTACAGGGGATGTAAGGAGGTGAGGTGACCGTGCTAGGCGCGTGGCAAGCCATCCATCAGCAGCCCCTAACTAGTTGAGCTACGCTCATTTCGTAAGATGTAAATATACATGTACATGTATTTATTAATCACGTAGTAGTATATACTATTGTAGATAATAAATTTTATTCTGTTTGTGCACAAGCATGGGCGTGAATGAGAAATCCTTACGAATTTATGGTTGAGAAAGATGTGTAGTAAAGAGTGATCGACAACTGGTAGTTAATCGGTAGATTAATTGACCGATGTCTTAATCGGTTATGCAGATTTATTTGATCGGTACGAATATTAATTTGACCGGTGTCTTAATCGGTCGGTAGATTAATTGACCAGTGTCTTATTGTTGGTAAAACTAATTTTATCAACACTGCAGCTGATCATGCATACTACCTCCCTAAATAAATTTATTTTTTATCAATCTCACACGTATCAATAGGACAAAAAAAACTAAAATAGTTCTATTTTATTAAATCACAATATAATTGTTTCTTATTTTATCTAGTTTCAATGTATTTACTATTCACTTTTACAAACTCTAATACAATGATTGCTAAAAGTAAATTTAATTTGGAATAAACTGGAGGAGGGTAAACACGATGTTATTTTAGGACAGCGGAAGTAAATATGTAGGATGCATGTCGGGTGAATAATACGATTTGATTCACCTGAATAAAACAGTGCTCTTAATTATATCTGATAAGAGTAGTAATATAAACGTGCAACGTACGTCGATTCATAACGAAGTGATGCGGAGCTACTGTATGCACGGGTCTTTTCTTAATGATGATGTTGATGTGAACAGAGACTTATAATTAATTGATGAAAAAAAAATCGATCAGTGCCATATATACGAAAATACGGTTCATATGAAAAGAATGGCAGGGGCATTTTAGTCTATATGAAAAATACTTGAACAAAGACATCCTAGATGTACTGCGTACTACATAATGATATGGTTTAAACTTTGCAAAATAATCATTATATCACCCAATTTCATCCTTTGTAATGATAAATTTTAATAGGGTATTTTTTATAATGACATAAATCCAATTAACCTTCTTAAATATGCATGGTTATTTACATACTACCAGTATGAACAGTTGAAAACCATTTGAAGATAGCCTTAAAAGAAGCATTTAATTTTAAAGTGGCATATATATAGGTACTACAAGACAAGAGGTGAATAAACTGTAGCTCTGCTGACAAAAATTCAGTAACATGCCAATTACCGTTCTGGGCCGTGTGTACGTAAACTGAGATTTCAATGAAAACCGGCATTCATACCTTACCCATAACTCGCTATATACAGTCCGGCCGACAACAGAAACTTATTATCACGTAATTAATGAGGGATGAATTAATTAGAAAAAAAGAAGAGCTATTAAAGCTACATGTAGATCGATCAAGACCCAATGTATAATATACGAAAAAATATATTATCTACAGCTTTCAGTTACTCTTTTCTTAATAAATAGTATATGATATGCCATTAACTTCTAGACATACGTTTAACCGTTCGTCTTATTAACAAAATTATATAATAATTATTTATTTTATTATTAAATATACATTAAACATGATTATATTCTTGCACAATTATGTAATTTTTTTAAATAAGATAAATGGTTAAACGTTTAAAGTGAACGTCACAATTGCATTAAAAAAATAAAGTGAGTATATATATGCATATAGGCATGCAAATCAAATTAAACTCTGTATCATATCACTAACTACTACTCCCCCGTTTTATATTATAAGTCGTTTATTTTTTTCATAGTCAAAGTTACTAAATTTATAGAAAAAATATAATAATATTTTAAATATAAAATAAATATCAAAATATATTCAATGTTAAATTATATGAAAATAATTTAGTGTTGTAAATTGCTAATTTTTTTTTCTATAAATTTAATTAAATCAAAAGAATTTTTTTAAAAAAAAATCAAAAGACTTGTAATGTGAAGTCAGGGAGTTCTGGCTTTGATCATCAACACTAGATACGGAGTAGTAGCTACGAAGAGATATGCATGCATAACGCTGACGTGGAGTAAAGTAGTTTGCATGTGACGACACATGCATGCATGTAGAGTGAATTAGGAAGTAGATTTTTTTCCCTCGAGGGACATCACTCGTTTTGCGTACCTATAGTTTTAAAAAATACTTTTAAGATAGATCACTATATAATATATCTTTTCGTAAACATATTAGTTAAAATTCAACTTATATAATATAAAACAAAAATAACAAATTTGACTATGAATTACGTGTTCACTTCGTAGTTAAATTTATTATTTTTGTTTTTATCTATATAAGTTGAATTTGAATTGAAGTGGCAAATCATATACTGACCTATCTTACTAAATTTTTTTAAAAATTTTGATGACTTTTTAAGTGATATCCCCTTTAAGGATTATTTGAGTTTTCCGAGTGAATTACTCCACTCCTACCTTGCAATAGTTTTGGAAGAGCTGATGGAACGAGTTCCCGAGTCCGGCGATGCCGACGACGGTGACCTGTCCATCACCGTCACCGTCGCCGGCGCCGCCGCGCTCCTTCATCCCGATCACCTCCTCCATGTCCAGCCTCTGCATGACCTCGCCGTCGGACTCCGCGAGGCCAAGGTAATACCCCCTGAACGCCCTCAGCTCCGGCGCCACGACGGCGTCGACGGCGAGGTACTCCTTCAAGAACGGCTCCACCATCTCCCTCGGCATGGAGCTCACGCACACCAGCCGCCGCCGCCGCGCCGCCGCATCGAACACCTCGGCGCTGACGTCCTCCAGGAACAGCTTGGGCATCACCGCCCTGCCCACCCGGAAGGACGGCGACCCGTCCTTCTCCTTCCTGACTCCGGCGAAGCTGACCATGACCATGAGCTTGGTGGCCCGGTCATGGCCGAGCAGGAGCAGCACGGGGTAGAGCAGCAGCAGGAGGAGGCCGCGGAAGAGCCCCCCGGCCTCCAGCGCGACGAGCATGAAGTACGGGAAGGTCGACGGCGACATCAGCAGGCCGCCCTCCACCTTGCACACCGTCACGTCCGCCGCCGCCGGCAGCTCGTCCGACGACGGCGGCCGCCTGACGACGTGCGGCGGCGGCGGAGGAGGATGCGCATGGAGGACGAAGGATTTGAGCCGCCTGACGATCTTGTTGGAGTGGAAGAGGAGGGACTTGGTGAAGGCCTTCCACGACATGGCTGCTACAACTCGTTCGATCGAGCGCGAATATTAAAGCAGCATGGGCAAACTCTAATTAACAACTAATTAAGTTAGCTAGTTGTATTGGGAGCTAGTGTTGCACCTGTACTAACATTATATATAGACGGCCGGGCAGGGGCACCGCAGGGGAGAGGGAGACCAGTGAGAGTAACTATCTCTGCAATTGGCATGCTTTTGGTCATTGTGTTTTTATCAAATCAATCATATATTTATGAAAAGAATAAAATGTATATTACTATATGAATCTATTTCATATAGAGATTGGTTTCTTCTGTACGGGGAGGATTAAATTTTGGATACTCGTGGCACGCTTTTCAAACTGTTAAATGGTGCATTTTGTGCGAAAACTTTATATACGAAAGTTGCTCTAAAATATCATATTAATCTATTTTTCAAATTTATAATAATTAAAACTCAATTAATTATATATTATTACCATATCGTTTTGCATGAAACACTTAATTTTTATCTTCATCTTCATCCTCAGTAGATTCAAACACCACCGTACTACCACGTATAGAATCACACTACAAGCTACCATGGGTGGGACCCACGTGAATAAAAAAGGGAAATAGAGATTGATCACTTTCTTTGTGAGCGCAATGATATCTGACATGTGGGTTCAGTATACTTTTCCTTAACTGAAACCGGATGCTACCACTAGTGCCTGTCACTACGCTTAATTCAATAAGGAGAATTTTGCAATGTATACAGTCGGCTCTATCACCTTCTTTCTCCTATGGAACCCTTTCTAAATCCAACAATGCACGTGCTATATAACATACTCACATCCTTTGCTCCAAACAACATATAGAGTAAAAATTCCTAAGGTTTAGAATACTTTAAAATTCCTTCGATCAGGTCAACGAGGAGCCCTAAAATACATTAATGTCAAGGTAAAAAGGTAGAGAAGTTAATAGTGCCAGGTGTCTGCAAATCATCCAACTAACAATATTTAGGTTGCGTTCGAGAGATCGACGTACACATAAAGCTAGAAAGTCCCTAGCTTTCCACGCCCACACTTTCTAAACTATTAAACGATATGTTTTTGGTAAAAAAAATCTATACAAAGTTGCTTTAGAAAGTTCACATTATCTATTTTTAAGTTTAAAATAATTAATACTTAATTAGTCATGTGTTAATGGCTTAGCTCGTTTTACGTATCTTTTCAATTTTATCATTCTGTTTTCTCTCAAACATAGCCTTAGACGCCAAAATTCTTTATCGGGTAAGTTTTCATCTACATGGAAGGCAAGTTTACACCTACATGAAAGGCGTAATGATGTATGAGAGAAAGAGACTCGATTAGTATAGGATATATTGTAAAGATGAAAACTACCTATATCTAGACGAATAGCTTTGTTGTTCCTTTCCTAGCTATATGCAGCTTAGGTGGAAGTTAGGCACAATTAAGTCATCAATAAGATATTATATATTTTAGAGGATCCTGATCTAACGCAACACTGTATATTTCCAATATTTTTGAGATATTTTTAATAGACCTGTTTATGAGTAGCTAGGTTAGTACATCGACATTTCACTATATATGTCAAAGTCTGAAATGACATATTGGTTTATTAGCTGATGTCTCACATTTTGTTGGAAAGCCCCTTCCCTGCACACAGTTAGTTGAGCCTTAGCTACATGGATCGATTTCCAGCTTTAAAGTGATTAATACAGTGGTAACCATCAACACGGAAGGATGGTTAATTAATTGGAGCATACATGATTAAATTGCCAAGCTGGTGGCAGGCGTCTATCTATCTAGTACGGAGTACTACGTGTCCACTTGTACAGGGCTGTAATTAATTATATCAGCGCTTAATTTCACTCTGTTAATTTTCCTTGAAAAAGTAAGGTTCACTGTTGCAATAATTACTACTCCTAATTAGCTGTTCCTACAACGACATGACTTTCGCTAATTTACATTTGGAGTATATATACTTTGGCGACACAAAACCTCATGAGGTTTCTGGTAGAGTGATATGATATCTCATTGGTGGGGTATTGTATATTAATTATTATCAGCACGTCTTTGTATATAGTCAGCATCATGTTGGCGATGTACGTAGCTGATTAACGATGAAGATGCACACAGATTACTCCCACCCACCGCCGCGTTTCTCTCACTTTAATTAATTGTAGTATTTGCAAAATAAAAAAGAAGTGCAAAAGAGTTGCATTGCTAGCTGTACTATTGATAACTACATGTACATTTGGCTAGGTAGGATTTATGTTTGCCATTTACACTGTTATAATATTATCAATGCTAGCTAATCATATGCATGGAGGCCTGCAGTTGCTCCAAATTTCCATTATTCACAATATGCATGCTATCTAGCCATACAAAATTCAACAAGTCCGAATGCATGCTTGTCGTTCCCGCCATAAATATTTTATGCTTAAGATAAAATTGGGTAAACTTTTAAAAATTCCGATAATCAATTTTATATTTAAATAAATTTGTAAAATCTAATAAGTTTATAATATTATGATAGTACTTTTGAGGCAAATACACATATACCTTTTTTAAGCTAAGCATTTGAAAATTTACTGATGGTCAAAATTTAAAAATTTTGATCGAATCTTATTCTGAGGGTTAATTTTTTTTGTATGTCCTGCCGTTTCCCCCAAAACAGAGGGCAGCCTGCGCACTGTTATATATATCAAATGCTGAACATGCTTGCAGGCTACAGTTCCTCCAAATTTCCATTCACAAAAACAGTCTGCATGCATGCATGTTGTTCTAGGCGCCATACAAAATGTCATCAACAGGCTTAATCAAAATTCAAAAGTTATCTCCGGTCATTGACGCCCAGGATAAGATTTGATCGCACTTTAAAATCCCAGTAATCAATTTCATATTAGAAATGTTTGAAAAGTCTAATAGGATAATAGTATTTTTCGAGACAGATACAGCATACCATTTTTTAAATTATGTATATGAGAGATTTTGTTATTTCAAAAGTTTGACAAAAGAGAGTATGGATGTGCTTACATCTAGGGGCGTAAAGTTTTAGCGTGTCACATCGGATATACTATACGGGCATACATTTAAAGTATTAAACGTAGTCTAATAACAAAAAAAATTACATAATCCACCTATAAACCGTGAAACGGATTTATTAAGCCTAAGTAATTCGTCATTAGCAAATGTTTACTGTAGCACCACATTGTCAAAATCATGGCGCAATTAGGCTTGAAAGATTCGTCTCGCAATTTACACGCAATCTGTGTAATTAGTTATTTTTTGTCTATATTTTAATACGTCATGCATATATCCAAACATTCGATGTGACATAGTGTAAATTTTTGTGAGGGGATCTACACAAGGCCTATATACGCACTGGTGCTAATTTTTCAGGTATATAGATAAAATTAGAGATGGCGGCTTATGATATGATAGATGAATGTGATTTGCCTCGATCTGCATGGGATGGGCACAAGGGACTGGGTGTTCCAACCGATCTGATTGGCACTTGCAGTATTAATTCCATCGACCGAACTAACACTAGGTTTAAGTAGCTACAGAGAAATAATTTAGTGTGAATTAAATATATTGTTCTGGTCTCCAGTAGCAGGTCAGGCCACCTTTTCGTCGAGTGAAAGTCACAGGCTTTTAGCTGATAATAAATTGGGCCACCTTTGATAACCATCCGAAAAACTAGTGTTTTAAAAAAAAAACCCATCGCATGTGCCAACATATGGATTATGGCCTATACATGTTATTTTCATATTTGATGATATTTTGCAACTCACTTGTCTCTAACATGGCATTTTCCATTTTTTTCTCAAATAAATTTCAATCATTTTTCGTCAAGCTTTAGTCGCGAGAACTGAAAAATAAATTCATCGATGTCCAGGTAATGCTGCATATGCACCAATGTAAGGATTTCTTTTCCCCCAATGAATGTCAAATTAATTGAATGTACTCCCTCCGTTTTGAAACGGAGGAAGTACATTTTAATTTGCACACGTACTTACACAAGAGTCTCTGAAAAAAACGTGATATTAATTTCAAATAAATTTATACTATTGTCTAGGGCAGAAACTGAAAAGAGAGGACAACAGGAAGGCCACACATACTTTTCTTGTTACAGGACACATTGAAGTTGTATTACACCGGAGCAGCAGAATTGAGACCTAACTACACGTGGATTTTAAACATGACAAAGTCAGTCAGAAAAATAATCAATAAAACTCACCCCTTCCCTTAAAAGAAAAAGTCAGTCAAGGCAAGCATCACCCACGAAAGAGAAAAAACTCAATCCAATATTTCCCTTCGCCACAATTTTCTTCTTTTTTTTTTGGCATTGATATCGATTAGGCTCATAGTACTGTAACTTAAGCAGGCAGTGCATGTCATTGGATGCAAATCAGATGGTACAGATTGCATGCTGTACTGTGCATAGTACTGTAGCAAAATACTGTAGTGTGAAGCACTGTAGCTATTACTACTGTAGCGCTCGCTCTGAGCCGTTGATCGTAAAAATGGATGGCCAAAATTGTGTGCAGTTTTATCTTATAATTACAAGTGTAACTGAGTGTAACTGCACCCGATCTCAATTCTCTAAGGAGTAACATGATATCTTTAGGGAGAAATTATATCCTCACACGGTGAACATGTCGATCATGTCTGCACGTGGATAAGCACGTAACCTTAATCATGCAGGCGTAAATGCAAATTAGGAACGCATTAAGAGAAATGTTTTTGTATTGTGTATGTATTATCTCGACTCGATCCATTTCTCAAGTTGTGATAAAAATTTTCCGATGCATTCATTGCAAGCAGCAAAACCACAATGACGACCAAAAAAAAAAGATCTGACTGGCGAACGAATTTGCGATCATATGGGAAATCAATGTCAAACTACAGTTAGTTAGTTTCCTTTCATTTATGCAAATTAAACAGGAGAGTTAGTTTGCTTATGGTGAACAGTGCCTGTACTAACAAACACGCTGCAATGGCATAACTGATGTTAGTTAAAACATAACCATAGCCTTATGGTGCACGAGACGCCTGGAAGAACATGACGGTCTCTAGGCACAGCAAAATCAACAGTACACACGAAGATGACACCTGAATAACTTGACCAAAGTCCAAAGGTCCACTGCAAGTACTAGAAGTATCATCGTATCACTGTATAAGAAAAAAAAAAAAAAGCAACCTCCATCGACACCCTACTAACCACTGATGCATCATTGTTTTGAAGTCTCTATTGGTTGTGTCCCGGCATAGTAATAGATTAATAGACATGATTTATTGTTTCTAATAAGTACTTGTATAAAGATACATTGACGTGTGGGTGGACTTAGGTCATGTAGGAACCTGCGTGCTTGCGTCGTGGCGCTTCTGGTCTGAATCGATTTACAGGTGGCGAAAGAATGGTGGATTGGTGGCCTACAGCTTGAATATGGCTGCTCCACTCGACGGCTTGGACGCGAACACGTACAACCCAAGATCCTTCTGGTTGATCACTCCCCGGTCGATCCTTGATTTATAGTACGTTTCCTGCAATAAAATGTATATCTTGTCAGTGAGGATCACCTCCAATAAACAGAGTTGGGTGCTGCTGTTTCACTTGAAATATGTAGACTATAGTTGTCTGCGTGGATTATGTATGTATTATCATGCATATATGTTGCTTATTGGATAAAGACAAGAGCTTACAGATTTAATTTACCTTTAAATTGAGAATAAACTGCGGGACAATGCCTTCCTTAACCAAAGCGACTGCACAGCCACCCCACCCTGCTCCAGTAAGACGTGCTCCGAGTGCTCCGTTGTCTCTACATACTTTTACAAGCTCTTCCAACTCGGGACAGCTGGGCAATGGAATATGTCAGTATGCTATAACTTTTTTTCTGAAAGAGAGGACTGTTTTCATGACATCCGAAGTGTCAATACGAGTTTTAAGTATCAATGTGTCTGCTCAGGAACGATACCCATCGTAGTTAAAGTACACTACTAAAAATGGTACCTGCATTCATATAACACACTGCAGCTATAGTGACTTTCATTCATAAGATCGCCCAGTTTTTGAAGCATATCTTCCGCACTGCAGAAAAAAGATAGCAACAGTTAGATCTCTCAATTTAGAAATAAATGTTCGTATACGGGCTGCTAATCGTCCATGACAGCTGTGAGGATAAATGTAGTAAGAGAATAGTTGGGAAGAAACAAACAAGAAAATAACCAGAATATGCATGGTGACTGCAATTAATGAACGTACCTGAGTTTTGACAATACAGTATCTCTGAAGGCATAAACCCGCCTTGCTTCCGAGTACACATGAAAGGCACGCTGAAAGTAAACACACATTAGAAACTTATAACCAATTGGCATATCATCAAAGGGCACAGTCAAACATATTCCTGAGTTACACAAAACTAAAGCGAACTTCAGCAAAAAATAATGCAAAAAAAAAAGTACCACGCAAAAACAAAGAGACATGTATAATAGAATGACAAAATATCTTTAAAAAACAGATTTTCCACAGAAGAGTTGTTCTACTGAGTAGGACTGCATCAAAGGGAAATCACCTGAAATAACTTGAAATGCTTTGCTGCTCTTAGAACATCCAAGGAAGTTTGAGAGCTCTGGAAGATAGATGTCAGGCTTTGACCTGTAATTTTCTCTATTTCTTCTGTTGTATATGATTCTTCATGTAATAGTTTCTGCAAAATTACACAATAACACAATCAGATGAGTACATGATAAGACAGAACAAAAAGAACTTTCCAGCATTACTTTTATAAAAAAAATTATATACACCCAAACGCTAATTACAACATATTGTAACCAAGTGTCCCATATGAGTACAAAATAATGAAACATAACTTGCCTAACTTGTACCGATCATCTCTTTTCTCGAATAAATAGATGGAACGTACGTATATCCTTCATGAGAGGATAATCTAAGTTCCTGATAAAATTTTGTACCTTCACGGCAACTCCAGGATCAGAAGAACCCTCTTTTCCAGCAAAAGAGACACATAACCCCTCAACATCAGAGAGGGTGGTAACAGAGGAGACAGCCTTTTTTGTTTCCATCCCTAGTTTGATGGCAAGAACAATCTGCAAAAATGCAAAACAGCAATATTAAATGAACAAATGAAAAAGAAATATCATTACTTTGTTGGTGATATAGCAGCCAGCTCAAATCCAGTTCCAAAGTAAAATTTTAAAATTGCCCTAGAAGCTGAATAAACATGTTAAGGTCACTTGCATTGTGCAGCAGCACAACAGAAAGGAATCTGGGAACCTTTGAATATTCTTAAAATTTCAATTCAAAATTAAAGTCAATTTACAGCTGCCAAGTCACACATGTGCAAAATAAAGATGTCTGAAACTAGTGTTTAAACATGTTCAGTCCGAAATAAATCACTTACTGCAGCCAGGCGACATTCAACAACACGGTTGTTATAGTTTGTTGCAGCTGTCTCTGCTTTCTTGGACTCTGCCAGGCAATGGGCAATCACAAATGTACCGCCTGGAGGTAGTTGCACATCAGTGGCATGGATTGGATTGAAATCTATCAACTCAGCAAATCCAGGTTTGGCCATGATAGATATAGCCTGGGAAAATATAATGAAATGTTAACAGACAACAGGGTAGTTCAAAATAAAAAGGCCAACTAAAATATGTTATTCATTATATAAATAGCATTGCTTGTACACACAGTAATAATATATAAAAAGTTCTGCAAAATTTATTGATGGTCATCCTGTCATGAGTTGATTTTGTAATCAATACTTGGAACCACGATGGTTTTTTGCACGTAAGCATGATTATATTAACAAAAAGTTTCAGAAGAACACAAATAGTCAAAGGATTATATGAACAATAAGCGATACAATTTACGAAGTAGTATATTTGGATGTCCATATTACAAACATAGTAATATCTCGTCCATAAGCTAACCCCAACAAATGACATTTTCCTTTAGACAGATGTACTTTGATTTACATGACAGGTGGCATAATAATAAGTTAAAGTACAAAAAGAACTGAGTATTACCATAATCAGTTAGAAAACTATGAACTATTTACCTGATCCATGCCCCCAGATTGTGTTCCAATGTGGCGCTCAGATTGACAGGTGAATTGTGCAACTTCTTTCTGCATGATTTGAATGGAAAAATTAGAAAAAAAAATCTCTTGAACTTTTCTGAATAATGAATGCAAAAAGGAAACTGAAATTACAGAAGTTTGAACTTAGACTATGAGGTGAACATGTCAGGCTCCAGTTTAAACTTAGAGCCACCAGGATCAATTTTATCTCTCAAGTTTGCACTGTTCAAGTTCTTGGTGTACCATTTTCTATAACAAATACATACCCATTATGTACAAAAGAGCAGTTCTTTTTTCCCCAAATTTTATGGTATAAAATCACTTCAGCAAAACTCAAGATTCATCATTCTATCCATCCATCTCACCCTTATACAGTGTTTCAGTTGTTTGCAATCCTTTTCAGAGGAGTTTGGTAGGCTTCATGCCTCCCATACGAATTAAAAAATTACTTCACTATCAGTTTAGGCAATTAATATTATTTTGTTTTGTGGACAGTACTGGCAATAAGGGAGCTATGTGAAGATAATGGCAAGGGAGTTGTTCGATTCGTAGCAAGGGATACCTTTGGGAAATTTTTCTCAAGAACTCCCATGATAGCAATTGTTGCTGAACAGACAAATGCTGCTGAGCTTGAAAGTCCAGATCCTACATAAGAGTAACAACACGCAATCATGTCAAACTTAACATGCTTATTATTTGGAAGTGAAAGAATCCCAAAACAAAATATCAAAAATATACCTGTAGGAACTGTGCCATCAACAACTACATCAAGGCCAACAGGTCCACCCATATCTATCCCTTTTGACCTACAATACTCATAAACTCCCTTGTATCTGCAGATAGAGAATTGAACAGACAGGATATGTTCGTTTTCTTTTTCTTGTGGCCAATGAAGTGTATGAAAAAGTGAACAAATTTCGCTATTTATGCAACATTATACAATATTATAAGAATTAACTTACCCACACATGAAATAGTGGCCCCATTTGTGGTTTTTTATGTCAATTTCCTGCATGAAAAATATTTATCAACAACCAAATCAATATATCAAAGAAATAATCAAATAACTGAAGCTAAGAAAAAACAGCAACTTCAGACGGATCATGGCACAATTCCGAAGCCAGAGATAGCATTTTCCATTTCATATTATTCCAAGTCAAATAGAATTAAGAATGAAGCAATAGTACTAGTATATGAAAATCCATTTGCAACTGCAACATGATGGCCCCCATCGTTTGGCTTATTCGGCATATTTGAAAACGAAAAATAATTTATAAATAAAACTTTTATATTAGTGTTCTTAGCGATTTAAAAGCTAAGGCTGAAAAATAAACTTCAATGAAAAAACCTCAAAATCAACTCCAAATTTAAGATTAAAAATTCAAATTTTGGCTGATAAGGCTGGATGAGGCTGGATGCAATGCAGTATTAAGCCCCCATCGAAGGGCTGAATGGGAGTCCACAAGGAATGTTTGCAATCCATTTGAAGGCCACCAGCCTAAAACAAAACAAAGGGGAAGCATGGACTTCCACACCATTATCTCTGTGGGCCACAAGCCCGCGGGGACAACAAATTAAGCTCACGGGCAGGGCAACGAAACTGTATCACGGGCTTCTTGTTATGATAATAAATTAATTAATGGGGTAATAACGCAACCACCCACCCATCCTAAAATAGTAAGGAGATTGTCTCTACCTCCACCGAAAAAAAATGGAATCCGATGCGCTACAGAAAACTCTCTCCCTTTTTCTCTTTAGAATCTCAACTAAAAACATTCCCCGCGATAACTGATAAGGACCTACGTTCTTCAATCAATCTCAACCAACGAACGAAAAAGCAAAAAATTAACAAAATCCACTCAAACTGAGCAGGATTAATCTAGGAACAGGGGCAAAGCAGAGTAGAATGCTGGCAAAATTAACCTTGTCGGGGTCGGCCGGGTAGACACAGATGGGGTACTTGTCGTCGACATTGGCGACGCGCACCTCCTTCCCCTCTGCCCTCCTGATGGCGACGATCATGTCCTGCCGGATGGCCATGGGCAACACCGAGTACCCCTCGTAGTCGATGTGCTCCCCTATCAGATTCACCCGCCCTGCACACACACACGCACACGCAATCCATCCTTGTCAGATCAAATCAAACGCATCCACCGAAACCTAGAGTGGTACCCATCCATCTATCAACCTACCCGGAGAGCGGGCGAAGAGCGCGGGGCGCGCGGCGTAGACGGCGTGGAACTTGTCGGCGAGGCGGGCCAAGCGGAGGCGCGCCTCGTCGAGCGGAGAGCCGTCGCCGTAGATCGGCTCCAGGGAGGAGAACGTCGGGACAACCTCCGCCTCCGCCGCCGCGGCGGCGCCTCCTCCTCCGGGCACCCGAGCCGCCATCGCTGGTGCTCTCTCGCCTCCTCCTCTTCCGCTTCTCGCGCTGTCTAGCGAATCAGTCGTCGTCTTCTTCCTCACGCCTCGTCTCTATCCGTTACAAGTCGTATCACACTCTATGTGATTGCGGGGTGGCAACTTCGATTGACTACTACTAACCTTAACCTTAACCTTAACCTCCCTGGGTTATATAGACGGGGGACGTGATGACTCACCGTCGCAGACAGGTGGTCCCGGACTTATGGCTGGCCCACACGTCGGTGAACGTGTAGTTTCGGACTCGGAATGGATAGATGGGAAGTGGGACCCACTTGGCAGTGAGAGAGTGCAGCGGGCGGTTTTGTGGGGCCCACCGGTCAGTGGCACTGGATGGGCGGTGGGGTGGACACATGGCGAGGGCGTGGGCCAACTGCCGATTAGTTCCACTAACTAATTAATTATTATCCGATTATGGGTGATTGGATTTTGCTTATCGGCGTCATCGGTTTATATCCTATCGGTATCAAAACGATTTGCCACAGAACACGTAATACGATTCGGCGTCCAGATAACTTTATTTATCATCATCAAAAGATCGTTTAGAATTCGAGTAAGATTTATCACGTCGTTAGAAATGTGGGTCCATATTTGTGTTCTACTAGTAGCTCTTTAGCTTCTCAATTATTCTCTCTATTTCACACTATAAGTCGATTGATTTTTTTAAAATTAAACTTGCAATTTGCAGTAAAATATAATAATGTTTTTAATAAAAATAAATATTACATTAAAATATATTTAAAATTGGATTTAATATAACTAATTTAGTACCTTAGATAATGTTATTTTTTATAAATTTAGTTAAACTTAATACTTTAAAAAAAAACAGACGGGAGTACTAGGAGACACGTGGACTCGGTAGCAACCCAACATGGTGCGCATCGCGTCACGGCTGCGCGCATATAGGCACAGTCCACTCTCCAGTCTCCATAGAGGGAGGCAAATTACTACATTATGGTGTTTAGTTATTTAGGTGTAAAATTATTAACTATACAGATACATATTTATACATATTTAAAGTATTAAACGTAAACTAATAACAAAACAAATTACAGATTTCACCTGTAAACTGTGAAATGAATTTATTAAGCCTAATTAATCCGTCATTAGTAAATGTTTACTGTAACATCACATTGTCAAATTATGGCATAATTAGGCTTAAAAGATTCGTCTCACAATTTACATGCAAACTGTGCAATTGGTTTTTTATATTTAATGTCTCGTGCATATGTATAAACATTTGATGTGATATTTTTGACCAAAAATTTTTTATCTAAACAAGGCCTTAGTCAAATCATATTGGTGCATTATTTAAAAGTATAACCAGCGTTCAGTAACTAGTACGGCATGTGTATCATCAAGTCACAGGCACCTAGCATGACTTGTTTTTGTTAATCCCACCTTCCGTCAGCTTCAAGCTTAAGCAGCTAAGCTGCACTTTCCGTCGAGATACGGACCTAAGTTTTGTTATCATACTAGTATTATACAATCGCTATTTTTAAATAGATATATTTTAAAATAACATTTAACCATTCATACTATTTTAAATAAAAATATGTAATTATAGTAAGGTATAAATCATATTTAAAGTTTCTTTAATGATAATACATGTTATAAAAAATAAATATTATTTATATAATTTTTTAAATAGAATAAATAGTCGAACATAACATCAAAAGTTAATAGCATTATCTATTTACATCTAGCTAAGCAAGTTGCAATGTGTACTATACAGTCATCATGCGTACCCCTCAGAATCTTTTTGGGACGAAGAGAGTATATCCGATCATCTGCTTTCCCGCGTCACTAAGTTTCTCTAGCTTCAAGTAGAGTGAATCTAGCAGCTGAAACTATACCAAACATGTCCTAACACTGGATGGGTCAAACATAGAATATCAAACATAGAATATAGTACATAATTGAAAAAGTTTGAACTTCCTATTCAAACGCATGGAAGAAGTTTGAGGCTTTGAGCCGCATGTGTACAAGCTCATTCGTGAACACAAAATAAACGCATACGAGACAATGTTCACAAAAACCGCTATAACTTACATTGTTTTTTTCTTTTCACTTTTCTTTTGTTACCAGATAGCTAATTCTGCTGGCAAATTGTTTTTACTTCCTCACAATTGACAACCGCGAACCACATTACAGGACAGAGATGCAGGCGTGCATCATATGAACAGAAAACACATCAGCGAGAAACACTACAAGATCATCGAGTCAGATACAAAGATGCTCCATTCCATTGCTAATCCTGAATAGTTTTACGATTGATATACCATAAACTTATTAATATTGCCGCCTTTCTTCTTCTGCAATAGCTACCAAATCCAGCTCAAGGATCTCACTCGCATTTTTGGGCTCTTGTGATCTCCCATACTGGAAGAAATTTCTCGCCTTCAATATACGCTTCAATCCGCTGGCTGGTATTTGCAATAGCGACCGTAAAATTCTCATTCTGAAGAGTATAGAGATACATTGCTCGTTCATCCTGGTAATTCATCACCGGGAATTTTTAATAAGAATAGGAACAGAAACTTAGCAGGCATAGACAAGTCTAGTAAAGAAAAAAAGAGGCTGATGCTACATGATGCACAAAATTACAGGATTAGCTATACCGTTTTCGTGTGCCGAAACATGTAAGTATCAGGACTTGCTACCTATGAGTTCGCAGGAATGAGACCAATAGTGACTAAGCTGAGACTTTGGCAGTGAACCAGGTAAGTTTATATGCAAAAACTATCACCACAGAATTGTTCCGTAAAATATCCCAGGCAGTGGCAAGTGATGCGTATTGAAAAGGTGTTCTCGATTATTAGGTACATGTGTAAGAATTTTGTTGGTTAATACCTCAGGGAGTTCCATATATTCATCAGGAGATATTTGAAGGAACTCTACGGCTGTTTGCCCAATGCACCAGGCAAAAACCTTTTCACTGTCATCTGCAATGGTCAAGTGAAGCTGAAAGCCATGTGTACATCCACTGATATGGCATGCGCACTTACAGAAGGAACACTGAAGTCCGCCTGATTGATCACTCACAACACACCCACAAAGATTGTGGAATAATAATACCTTCAAACTGTTGACATCGATGTGGTCAAGTCGAACATGGCATATCTGTTTATTAAGATATCAAACACAATCAGGATATTAGGAACGACAACACAAATGAAGAATGCAAAGTTCTTAAAACAAACAAAATAGGTACCAGAAAATACTTTCTAAAATGTCACTGATAACTCTGCGATTCCATCTAAAAGAACTAAAATGTAAATGCTTCAGAAGATGTCACAATAATAATGAAGACTTACATGTGTTCTATTAGTTGAATGGGGAAGATCTGACAAGAGTGACAAATTATGCAGGCATGTTGAATTAAGAAGCGCTGGCAGCAAGCTTATGTTAACAAATAGAGACCCTGGTTCCTTTTCAGTCCACGCGACTTCAAGCCTGTCACACCAAATAGTCCACCAACCAGAATTTTTCACCATCAAGCAATTATTGCGACATTTAAATTGTGAGCATATGAAATTAAAAGGAATATAGTGCTTACTTGTTTGTTGAACTCAAGGTACAAGTCAAACCAGACATGTACACCATATGACCAACACCTACCCTGCCTAGCGACCTGCATAAATATATCTATAAATGGATCGAATTGAAGTATAGTAGAGGCAGATGAGCTGGCATAGGAAATGACAATTTTGTAAAAAAAAAAAAGGTAACCTTATCTGAAGAACACTAAACAAAAATGATCGAATTTAGAACACTGAAGAGTCAATGCCACACTTTTAAATGGACCTTAATCTTTAAGAATTCATTACCCACAGGCTGTCAGGCAGAACATGGCATCAACATAAAAAAACCAGTGAACATAACATCAAATCTTTGTATAAGACCATGCAGACTTGCATACAGTGTACAATTTAGGTACCTCATGAATTTTCTAATCAGAATTCATCAGTTCATATAACAACAGCTCCAATCAGAAAAAAAAAAGATATGGTATAGACTTCAGAACATCGCGCGTTCACAGGAAATAGATAAAGAGGATGCACTTGGTTTTTCTTATGGCAGGATGCAATTGATTTGGTGCAATATAAAATGAATATCAAAGGCTCAGCATTGATTTGATAACAGAAACAGAAAATGACAAAACAATCAGTTCTTAGATGGAAGAAACTTGATGAATTCCTATTTCAATGATATCCTGCTCAGTGCAAAAGCAAATTGGATATTTATTTGCCAGGCTCCAAACTGTTTGAAACTTAGTACGTTGACCAGCTTTCTATATTTAAACCTAGCACACATTAACTCATCCAAACTACCAAAGCATATATGCCAGGATATTGCAAATTTGACACTCAACACTATGATCAGTACAAGAAGAATTTTGGTTTGTATTTCAAGTCAAATAATCCCGGTGATATTTTAAGTCAAATAAGCAAATCATTTTCAGACAAAATAGGGAATAGACAGTGGGAAAACTAGATCATTGCATAAGTACAAAAACTGATACCAGAGTCCAATGAAGTTAAGCTTCATCAGGACAACTCCTGTTGCATCTTCTATCTCCAAATAAAAGTAAGTGCCTGATGTACTTGCTTTGCAAACACTTGTTACCATGCCAAACAGACTAACTCCAACCATTTTATCATGAAGATCACTTACGTATACCTAAAAATTAGACATGTTATAGAAGCACACAGCAATGAATATATCACGGGAACTTTACTGCATGCATGATAATTGATAAATACTTTTATATGGTATAAAAGTTGCATTAGACTAAAAACAAACATGATCCACAGACCACGGGGCAAGAAAGACAGCATGTGTGTGTGTGTGTGTATAGCTACTATATGGCACCTTAAGGTGCTACCTATTAAACGGCACCTGACACAGTGATTTAGACCCACCAACTGCGCACACCCCCACCCCCCATCCTGAACCCACCTATGTTGACGTAATAGTTAAATTCTGACTACCATCCACGTGTCTTTTTTACCGTGTGTAGTCTTTTCTGCACCTATGCTTCATTGTACACTCATCAGAGTGGAGTAAAAAAATTACTACTGACTTTTACCTAAGGAAATAGATTA